TGCCTTACTACTAGGAGCAAGAAGCTACGAACGTAACAAGAAGCTACTAGTAACAAGTGCATCGCTACTAGTAACAAGTGCCTTACTAGTAGTAACAGGTGCCTTACTACTAGTAACAAGAAACTACTATTTTGGCTTCTTCGTCGCCATGGACCGTCTGTTGACCGTCCGGATGCCCAGCTTGAATTTGTCTTGGTGAAAACAAGCTTCAGAAGGTTGCATGAGAAGGTATGACAACCATCTGATGCGGAAAAAGAAGTAAGAAAGAAACAACAACTGAGTTGGGACCTTGATCTGAGTTGTTGGGACCTGGCTCATCTCTGGTTCTCAGCCATCTTTTGACCCAAGAAGCATTACAGGCCGCCAGCTCGTTGCACAATCAGCTTGATGATTGCTCCCATGTCCTCAACAGCAAGCCTGGACGGTTTTTCCGTGGTTGGTGATGTCCCTGCACCCGACCACATGAATGATCCAATTGCTCATTTGGAGAATCACATCGGGCAGATTGCCGGGCCCTAAGATCTGGCATTTAGTAGATTTAGTTCGCGAAAACTGTGGAGTGTATCAACATGCTGTTAAGTTGATCGCTGAGGTTTCCTACTTTGGTGATGGGCACGAGATGATCAAGATGTCTATGAAACAGGGCGAGACAACCATAGAGAACCTGTCCATAATGGAGCGTGAGTTGAGATCACATCGTGATCATGACGCTGCAAAACGGATTGTCGGAAACTCAGTTTGCTTTATTGCCTCATGTTGTGGGTTGACGGTTCATGTTACGTTTACCTGTCGCACGCCTGCACCAAGGTGAAGTATTCACAAGCTGCCTCGGTCCACTCTGTCAACCAGGTCTTGCCAATGAGGGGCCACATCCAAGAGATCGCAGAGCTGCTTTGTGAGGTAGTGGACCCTGACGTCCAGATGGACCCCCAGAGCCTGAAACATGTCATCTTGGCGGTGCACCAGGAGTCTGAGGCTGCACATCGCATCGCAACAAGTGGCTTGGAGAAGTTCCAACAACTCGTGGAGCAACTTAACGACATTTTTCAGGATTACCAGGAAAGAATTGAGAAAGCAAAGCAGCAAGTCGAGGACAGTCAGAAGAGTGCGACTGAGTACGAGGAGGAAGCCCACAGGCTGAAGAAGAAGAGCGACACTAGTGGGATTCTGGCAGTGGTTTCTGGTGCCACTAGTGTGCCAGCAGCATCCATTCCGTGGATAACTGCTGGCACCCAGGGCGGATGGGTGACAGCGGCAGTCACTGTCTTCAACCCTTGGGGAGTCGTTATTGGTACCACTTTGACCGCAGCTTGTGTCGGATATTCTATCTATGCTGGTGTGGGTCGTCGCGAAGCTCAACGCGAGAAAGAACAGGCTTTGCAAGAAAAAGAGAAAGCTGAAAAAGACGCAGAACGTGGGAAGGCTGTCGTGGAGAAGACACAAACAAACATGGACCTCGCAAGTCAGATGAGGGACACAGCCCAGACACATGAGACTCTGTGGGATGGCATGTCAAAGGCTGCAGTGCAAGCTGCCAACACATTCTCCCAGCTACGACATATTGACCCATCAGGTGCTCGCCGCAAGCGGTTTGAGGACAAGATGAAGACATACACCTCTCACCTGCTGGCTTTCGTTCAGGCCAGCATTTTAGATGTTCCAGCTTGTTCCAGTTTTGTTTTTCAGAGCAGTTTTGACGCACGACTCGACCCCCCTACTTTGTTTTTGTTGTGTTGACGTTTGAGGCTGTGGATGAATACCTGTTCTTCCTGCACAAGAAGGGCCTGATCCCTCCCAACTTCCGCCTTGAGAGCACAGTGGGGCGAGAGAAGTTTTTGCAGATGGAGAGGGACTGGACAGCTGCCGCAGATGGACTGAATTCCACAAGTGAGAGCCACCCTACTCCGCAACTGACAGATGCAACGGCTGAGGATGCCTAGGAATGCAACATGGTTTGTGCCAGTTTTGCCCGCCGCATCACCAGTATGCAACAGGGTTATCTTGCCGCCGGCGTATCCAACAGAAGCTGGATGTCAGCAGTTCATGGTGTTCAGCATACGCCTGTTGGCCAAATTGGCCAATGACATCTTCCCAAGCGGCATTTGGATGTGACACCGCCATTCCCACGGGCCAAATAAAGCACCTGTTCTTTATCCTTTGACATGTTGTTCCTCCTTGCGTTTTTCAACTTATTTGTAAGTCTACTTCTGAAATTCTGTGCGCAGTGAAAGTTCTGCTCGAAGTACAACAGAGAGCTTGGTGATGTTGACTGCTGACTGCAAGATTTTTGGACCTAGCCACCTCACAGTTTCTAAGGTTGGGAAGACTTGGTTTTCAACAACCTCTTGAAGGGGTGCCCGCTCGTTCAAATCTGACTGGGATCACGAAGAGGCATTTCAATCTTGATCCCCATGCGTTAGACGCGTATTGATCGGGGGCCGAGGCAGTTCTGCTTGTATAAAGCCGAGGCACTTCTGTTGTGATTTCCCCAATCCAACCTCATGAATGCGAGATAGTTCGAGGGTTGATTCTTCAAACGTACTTCAGCAAGTGCCTTTGCATGGACTGGTGAAGTTGAGAGACATGTTCAGCCACCGCCTTGAGAGAGACATGTTCAGCCCAGGATGCAGTAGCTTTGCTCCAGAAGATCTTTGCCAAAGTAAATTCTGGCTTTGGTACCGACAGCACTGAGGAGAACATCGATCGTGCTAACTTACAGCAACATGTATGAAGAGCATTGTGCCAAGGAAAACCTTTATGTTATCGGTGATTTTGGATTGTCTTGCGGAAGTGTCGTACCTGTGGAGGTGTCGGCCCTGTGCCAAACCACTTTGACATGTCAGTAGTAGCACCCCAGCCTATTGAGGTGCGGCATGTCCTGAGACATGAAATCTGATTAACTTTGGTTTCAATGCACCTGCCCGCACTGGAGCAGGCTTCGTTTTTGATTTTGTGACAGTATGTGATAAACTGCTGACAGCGTAGATGCATCAATGCAGATATCTTCACGCTTTGAAGTTCCCGAATCGAATGGAATGATCCAAAGTTCGACTTTTGAGACAGACTTTCCTAGGAACACCATGTTCTTCCTTGGTCGCACGAATTCATTGTTGTGAGGAAGTAACCACTACTCATACAAGTCTTTTTGGAAAGGTTGTATGACTACACTTAGCTTTATCAGCACATATCACCTACCAAGTCTCACCCTTTGCGAATCACTTAACTTGTGCTACTGCTGCCTTAACTTGTCGCAATCCACCCGTCCATGTCGTTTGAAAAATCCTCCATTTTGCTAAAGCTGAACCTTGTCTCCAAGGTCAAGATCAACTCAAGTCAAGCAGTTCAACTAACATGAGTTCTATATAGGGAGAATGGCATTACTAAACAATTGAAGTTCCTCACAATAAGGGCGTTCATCTTCGACTTCGACGTTCCTCCATGAGGCCCAATCAATGGCGGGATTTCGGCTGGTTTTGTCACTTTCGACCCCAAACATGCTCTTCCTCGCTGCAGGTATGGTGAGGTGACCTACCATGGCATGGAACGCTTGTACGACGCCTTAGAGCTCCGCAACGAGGAGAGACCAATGAGAAGGGCAACCAGGCCAATGAGTTCTTTTGGACTTCAAAAAGGAGTATCCACTGAATCAAAAAAAGGATTGGGTCAAGAGAAAAGCTTTCCTGGTACTTCCGACACCTGCGTGTTGGCGGATTGCCATATCACTCCATGGCCGAAGTCATGTTGCCAAACGCGCCGACCTTGGCATCCAAGCTCCTCAGCTCACGATGTGTTTTCGCGCCAGGATGTCTTCTACGACCTCGGCTGTGGCGTGGGGAAGCTCGTGCTCTATGTGGCCCTCCGGGGCGCAGCGCAACGCTCCGTGGGGCTCGAGGCGAAACCCGAGCGACGGGTCGCGACACTCGAGTTGCGACGCGACGCGAGTTGGCGATGCATCGGTGTGATGCGTAGCTCGTTCTCTTTGGAACTCGTGGTTTCCTGAAAGGCTTTTGGCCCACTACTAATACTGGCCCACTTATGAGGGAAACCGGGCACGCAACAGGAATGTGCGACGGAATCTATCAGATATATAATTAGGTCTCTATCATGGTTTAAGATGGCGCCCTTGCCATTGTCTTTCATCAACATCTCACTCCAAGCAATGCACGCAGAACGTCTACCAACAAGGGGGACCAGCTCACTCACTCGCTCGAACGATGCTCGAACGCTGCAGCGCCGAACGCCCTACGCCCGAACCGGGCCCCGGTTCGGCCCTCCGTGCGCCGTGCCGAGCCGAGTCTCCGCGCCGCGCCGAGTCGAAGCGAGCGACGTCCCTGGCGAGGTCGGGCAACGGCGGTTCCTGCTGGCGGAAGGCCCTGGGTCCGACCGGACCGGACCGGACGACGCGGACCGTGACGTGAGGAAATGCGTGTTTTCCATGCTGTGAGCGAAACGAGTGGAGTGTTGTCACCAGTAAGGATGAGTGAGTTGGACAGGTTAGTAGGACGTTGAAGGGTGAAAGATGTCGAAGTACACGCCGAGGAAGACATGGACAACGAAAGTGGTTTTTTGCACCTGTTCGTAAAGGGAAGTAGGTCCGTCAGTCACTCAAGCTCCACGGGACCATTTTTCATTCATTGTCCACTTTCATGTGATGTGTTGGTCAGAGTGTAACCTACCTCTGGAGATTGTCCCTGATGCTTCGATGTCGCTTTTATTTTCTTTTCGCGGATCACCGGTAGGAGAACCGTAGTTTCACACGATCTCAGAGAGTGTCGCCCCCCCCTTTCTTGACGCATCCAACGCAAATTTCACCACATTTGTGAGATGAAAGAATGGGTGATGGATGTGATGGTCTACCTCCTCACTTGTCCAGTTAGCTCACATCATCAGCAACCAGCAACCCGGCTGAGCGTCATCCTGCAGCTGTTGTTTGTCCGCCAGGTGCGCGCAACTCCCTGGACGAGGACAGAGGTCTTTTTGGGGATGATGGCCATTGGCCATGGCCAGCTTTTTTGCGCAAACAAATATGAGGAATCATGAGGAAAAGGGAAGGCCGGAGGCACTTGAACAAGTCAGCTTTTGGACGCTTTTTCAAGTATCTTCTTTTTTTGCGGAACATGTTCTCTTGCTCAATATGTGAGAAGGGTTTGAATGGTTTCAAATAGAGCCATCTCATCCCAATGCATTCTAACGCCATCCCGAACCACGCTAGTTGCAAAACACCTGGTCGATAGAAAGCTCTTGTCAGGAGATGGAGCATCAAAAGAAGAAACACGGTCCAGAGCCTTGACGTGAACTGGAGCGCGTGAACTTGGCGTCTGACGCCGTTTGTAGCCCTTGGCCCTCTTCCTTTTGCTCTCTTCGAAGACGCGAAGCTTTCAGCCAAGAACCGCCACCTGATCCGGGCCATGGGTTTGTGGCCTGTACCGTTTTTGACACCGGCGACACGAGCCTCCCAAAAAGACCAAAAGGCCCTATATATGCCATCTACGCCATCCGAAGTGGCGTTCTTTCTATTCTATAGAACTTCATCGAACTCACACACACACACTGCGACAGTTCATGAGATCTGCTCACATGGTTCATTTGTGATCTTCCAAGTTCTCCACTTGCTTGGGTAGACAAAGGTGTAAAACATGTGTAAACTAGGTTCACATCTGGATGCAACAAAGTCATCCCAATACCACTGCAAACAGCATTTTTTTGACTTGTTGTCTCTACAAAGAGTAGATTGAAAGTCTGGGTTTATTGAATCTTCATTTGATTTGTAGTTTTCAATGCCAGAATCACACCAAGGAGGGTCAGCCTTCCACAGAATGCAGGTTTCAGTTGCTCATCAGCATGTTTGAGGGGCCAAGGTTGAGGGTCATGGATGTTCGGTGGTCATGTTTCTTTGGAGGATCGTGCTAAACTAGGAAACTCTGCCGGCAGTTCAAGCACGATCATCCTTCCCGACAATTAGAGTTTGGCTTTGAAACTATGAACTCGGTCCGTGTCTTTATGGGCACTGGAACCTCCCTCAACCTTGCTCGGCAAAGCAGGTCTACCGTCGTCTACCGTCTACCTTTCACTTGTGGCAGACCTGTGGCTTTTTGATGTCTCTCCCTGTTTGGAGTCCATAGAACTGACTTTAACGACGAGATGGGAGATCCTGGCCACTTCAGTGGGTGAACCATTTTCCAGATGGGATGAGGCAGCCTTCATTGGTAAAGGAAGCCTTCCCGAGCAACTATGCATGGGTACTACAGTCTTCATGAAGGTGTGTTTGTGGCAGAGTTGCACCTTTTCTTGAGCCCTTGAAAAAGGCCAGCACCAAAAACTGTTGGCTCACCTTTACTGGCAAGGCCTTGTCTTTTTTCAAACTGATGACGAGTTTATGTTTGATATGAGTCTCTGACAGATTTGGTCATGATAGCACACAGATATATAGCTCCACGATCTGCTCTGCCGACATCAGGCTAGCGGACATCAGCAGGCCAGTCCCACGCTTGTTGGGACGGAAGGAACATGAAGACACGGCTTGATTGAAGGATCAACGACCCACTGAGTAGAAGTGAATGCGATGTTTTGATGTGGTATTTCATCATAGGCAACTGTCCCCAGGCCCTGACCCCCGAAGCACGTCGAATTGAAGCCAAAGTCTTTGGACCCTAGCCAAGGCCCCACTGTCTTTTGCAAAGAACGCTTCAAACACATCGCGCCGCATGCGAAACGTGAAAGCTCTCGGAGTGGCGTGGATGACACTTAGCCCCCACCCCAAAGCAAGCACCACACAGACAGGCTCCGACCGACAAAAGGGTGATGTTGGGCGGTTCTTTGGTGCAAACCGCTTGAGGGAAAAACATGGGCGTCGCAATGGGCGTCGCAATTTGCCCCTAATTTGTAGCGATGCCCTTGCTCCTAGTAGTAATGCCAGGAGCCCCTAGTAGCGTCCTCTTGCTCCGTTCGTAGCGATGCCCTTTGCTCCGTTCGTAGCTATTGGATGTTTGTGCGTTGCAGGTACCGCTATCTCGATCCCACTGCCGCGCGACGGCACCGATTTCGGAGGGCTGATGGTTTTATGTCCGTGGGTCAAAACTGGGGGACCCTGGTTGACCAGCGAAAACGAAAACGAATAGATGCCCCGTGCCCAAACCGACACATGGTCAACCTACTAGGGTGGGTAGGGCTCCAGGTTGTGACTGCCCTGATCCGGGAAGGAGCTCTGGAGATGTTGAGAGTCAGATAGAATCCCTGCTGGCTGATCTTGTTGAGGTCTTACCGGCGGAAGAAGGACATGAGAGGATTCATGAGTCAGGTAGGTAGTGCTACAACCATGAACAGGACATGAGGACATCCTGTAAAACTTCCTGTGTGTTGTCCTGTGATATCCTGTAACCGACTGCATGAATGAGAATTAAAGAAAAGCTTTGGGATTGGGCGTTGCAATATGTCTCGACAGAATCTGGGTGTTGGTCAGTACTTGGCCGACTAAAGGCCTTTTCTTCTGTGTTTGGTGTTCATGTCCCTACACTGATCCACTTCAATTTCTTAGTTGTGACAGGCCGATTTTGACTGGTTTTCACCCAAGTGAGTTGATATGAGTTGATTGTTGGTTCAAGAAGATGGTGGATTTTGTTGGCTCAGGAACCTGGGCGATGGCGATGGTCAGAAAACGCAGAATCACCACCTTTTAATCACTTTTGCCGACATCCACAGATCCTCCCCAGCTCTTTCTGTGTACTTTGAGGGAAGGCCATAGACTCCATCGCAGTACCTCCAATGGCCACCAGCAGCTCCAGAGGGACCACCCAGAGGGAGACACACAACCAGGGAGCGGAGTTGAGGGGATCCAGTGGGACCGCTGGCGCTTTTGTCGGAACAGCCGGATCGGTCTGAGGTGGCAGTCCTCACGAACCTGTGCATGGACACCTCGGATTTGCAGAAAGAATGCGTTTCTTCCGCCTGTTTGGGCAGTCGATCGGACATGTGGCCGCCAGAGGCCGCGGCCAGGCCAGGCGGGAACAGTCGGCCAGTTCTTGGCCAGCTCTTGGCCACTGGCGATCCCATCCGTGCTTGGAATCTGTGGAGTGTTTTGGTCCAAAGAGACAAACTGTCCAAGTTCACAAACTGACTTAAGTCCCAACCGACTTGAGCATGCCTTGAGTTGACAGACTCAGGACATGGGCGTTCAAAGCCGCACCTTGAACTGCCTCCTTCGATGTCCTTGCTTTAGGCACCGCGCATATGCAGCTGCCAATGTAGCTCTTTCCAGCTCGTGTCAGTCAGTCGAAGGCAGTAGTTTGGTAGCGAGGTTGGATTTTAGTTTGGTTCCTGGTATCTCCTCATCTCGTTGGACAACCAGAAAGTTTTTCCTGTTTCCCTCGCAAACAGCAAGTCCCTACCTGCCTGCAATGGGAGGAACTGCTACCTGCTTAGCTTTACTTATCTGCCTACTTACGCTGAAAAAGACAGCAGATTTCCACCAGAGATGGAGGCTCCGTCGTTTGGCATCCCACAGGCGATTGGTGAGCATCACCCCCTTGCCACACACCAGGCTCGGGATTTGTGACTTCAGTCCATCCAGAGAATTGCAGTGAATGGACGGAAGTCATGCGTGCTTTGTGTGGTTTTTGGTTGGTTTGGGTCTGTGTTTTGTGCACCTTTTTCCCAACTATTTGCTTCTTGCTTCTTCTCAGTCCTTCTTTTTGGGGGCGGGTCGTCGCTGCATCAGAGACCTGGAAAGGCGAAAGAAGGAGCTGAACTATACCCACACGTGAAAGACATGTGTCACCAAAAGAAAGAGTCAAACTCAGTCAAACAGGCGCAACTTCAGGGAAATTATATGATATTATGAAAATACGAAGAATGGACGTTCATCCAATTTCATCCATCCAACCAAGTAAAATGAAATCACACGATCCCTGAAGCGAAGACATTGTTTTTGGACTTTGGAGGGGCGGCAGGGGGGGGGGGCATGTCGGGGAGCATGTCGAAGCACGAGAGGCTGAAGCTGGTCCGCTCTGTGCTGGTTTCCTGCACATGGGCGAAAGTCTCAGCTTGGCAGGTGCTCAGCCTGTGTGGGGGCATTTGGGGATTTGGGGAAGCCAAGATGAGCCAAGTTGGGTGTTGGAGCAAGGCTGAGCAAGGTAACTAGTGGCTCAGGAGATCTCAAGAGGGCTTTGCTTCAATCAGAAAATGAATTAAGATGAAGATGATGATGATTATGCCAACTCGTTTCAAAAGAATCCTGCAAGCTGCATCAAGCTGCCAGAATCTACCAGTCCAGTTGTTTTTTTCACCCCCTCAGGTGGCTTGGAACCAGTTCGCCGCTCCTTGGCCCCGTGCAGGTCTACGATGTCTTGCCTCCGCAGGACGTCCGAGCAGGGACGAGATCTCGCGAGGTCGCGAGGTCCGTCGAAGATCGTCTGTTCGGTCTGTTCGTCTGGAAGAAGGGCCGGGTAGTGGAAACCAGTGGAAACTAGGTGACAAGAAGATCCAAAGCTACCACCCCTTCCAGCAGAAAAGAAGTGATGATGAGCACTGAAAAAAGAAGAAACGTAAAAAAAACGAAAAAACTACGCCAAATTCCTAACCTCCTCCGGGTCACCCCAAGTGGGTGACCGTTACCACCCACGCCCAAAACGCCGGGCCGCCCCACTAAAACGGTCCCCTTTTCGGCGCCCCGCCACGCCACGCGCCCTGACCAGGAGCCGCTGGCGCGGAGTTGGATCACTGGCCCCACGGCGCTGAAGCGGAGCAACAGCAGCCACACCTCCGTGCTGAAGAGGCGGGTCGTGCGGCGGGTCGAGTGCGGCGAAGCGGTCGAGCCGTTTCGCGGCGGACAGGGCGGTCGAGCCGTTTTGGGCGGCTCGTGGTTGGGAGATGCTCTGAGATCCTCTGAGATCCAGATGTTTTTCGTCATGCTTTGCACGGTCTGAGGATCATCCCATATATCATATTCAGTATCATATTCCTGTAAAGAGAATAGGGAGAATCCCGAGTCCCCTGATCATTTACCAGGGGCTTCTCCCTATATACCTTTGAGGGGTCAGTGTGTTTGCTCTGGTTTTTGCGTCGTCTTGAGTCTTCAGGTCCGGAGAACGGAAACGGTTGGTCGGACGGTGGGTCGAAAAGGGCGACGGTTGGATCTGGATGAAAACAATCATATGTAGACTCTTGAGAAGTAATTAACCCCTGATTTAACCATTGATTCTGAACAAATCAAGAGGAAATCAAAAGGAATCGATGAAACAATCATGGAAGATCTCCCCTGAAACGATCATGGTGACGTGGAGCGGAGTTCACCACCTCTTTGGTATTCGGATTTGATGGCACTCCCGGGGCCATGTGAATAACTTCCATTATTATATATTTCAGGGAGTGTATATACAAGAGATGACTTTGCGACTACGTCCATGCTAATTACCAAGACCCAGTGTACTCACCAACACCATCCAACACACAGTTGTCTTTTTTTTTGACACTTAAAACATCACCCAATGGCTTGGGACACCATCATCGAAGCCGGACCGCCTGCGCACACCTGCGCAGGAACCGGGCTCCTTGGTCGCGAGAGTCTCGAGGGCAAGCGCCACGCCCACGGCGGCGGGTTTCGAATGACGGAAGATACTCCGAAGACCATCTTCGGTCATCTTGGTGGGCATGTATTCAAATTGATTTCAGCCTTTCAGGCCTGTAAGTACGGAAGTAGGGAGATTTGGGCAGTGTAACTGTATTGTTATAGCCGGCCATCTAAAAGAACCATTCTGAAGAAGTATTGTAACTGTATTGAAGTTGACCATTCTGAAGATCAATATCACGCCACTCCACCTAACTGAGAGCAGTGAGAAGAGTCTATATAGCTTTCGTGAGTTGCACTTCATGGGCGCTTCCTTCCAGTGGATTTTTTCGTTTCTATTTACTTTTTCGTTTCATTTCACAAACCCAAAAAAAGACATCGGCCATGCCTTCTCGAACATGGGGCATCCGGGCTGCGCACGGCGACCGGGCTCGTGACATCGGGTGTGCACTTCAGCACCGAGGAGTCCCTGACGAACGTGGAGAAGAAGGCGCACGGGAGTCGTCGAACGTCGTCGAAGTGGAGAGTGCAAGTAACGGGCGACCCGTGAGAACGGCACGGCGGAGTGGAGGCGGTCAAGGATGGTCAATGATGTTCAGGCTTCTTTTCGTTCGACCTGACACCAAGTGGTCCAATCGGATTGGTTCTTGATCTGATCTTGGATCGATTGAATCGGTCAGAAAGAGGTGGAGCCAAGAGGTCCAGTGGAATGAATTCCCTGTATAATATAATACCCTAGGCCCTAGACTTCCGTTCGACCATGGAAAGACATGGGAACGACCTCTTAGTGTAAAATCCTTAGTTGATTCGGGATTCAGCCTATTAAAATAGTTGTTGGAAGCCTTTTGGGGTATAGATGTCTATGATGTCCTCCCCCGATGTTCATCGTGCCAGACCTGATCCGCGAGGTGAGGTCCGTGGTGGAGGTCCGTGGTGTTCTCCTCCTCCTCAGGTTGTACCTGCAGCAACTAGAAAAGGCCCTCTCCTTATGGTCCTTATGGTTTCGCAGCGATACGAGAAGACGCCTTGTAGCTTATGGGCTTATGAGTTTTTGTTGGTCCTTCCGTTCAAACCAAGCCCTCTCTCCCCCAACCCATGGGTGTTGTGTGGCTGTTTCCTTTCCGCAGGCCGGATCGACCTCCGCCGCTTCCAGGACCTCCTCCCGCCGATTTTGAGTCCACAGACGCTGCGGAAGTCCAAAATCCTTCCGAACGCACGGCCCGGAAAGCCCAGGGCAGGGATTCGGACGCGGAGACATAGTGAGGAGACATGGTTGGGATGGTTGGGATGGTTCGGATGGTTCTTTTCAAACACCATGTTTCTGGACATCCACTTCACCATTTGCTTGATGGTTTGTGCCACAGAACGATCTGTTGGGGCCGAGGTGGCCGAGGTGGCCGAGATCTCGATATTCCAGCAGACCTTGGGAGGTCAATCAGGAGACAGCCCTCAACCAATGTCAACCTGTCGAAACCAATCTCAATGGCTCTGATTTTCAAGTCGAGGAGGGATGTTTGCGGGTTTCACCTCTTGAGAAGGATGTGGGGACAGATGGGACGCCGTGCTGGGGACATTTGAATCTGTTTGCTTCTTACAGTGTACAGCACTCGTGGACTAAACTGCTCCACGACATGGAGATACATTTCAAGTTGCCTTAGGGAAATATATGGACATGTATATTTTTGGGGTGGACTGTGTCTGTTTATGGTGGACAAGGGGAGCAACAAGTTCTTGCATCATGCGCTTGCGTTCTCAGAATCGGATTTCTTGGGTGGGGCCAATCGCTTGAACAGGGGATTTGCGAGAAAAACCACCCGCTTCCTCCGTTCACCACTTCCGCCTTTCACAGATCGACTTCCCCCTCCGTTCGCACGTGCCGAGGCGTTGCGCGTCTGTGAAGCGTACCGTGCCGTCGAGACCTCAGCGGGCCGATGACCGATGAGGGCGACGCATCCGCGTGATGGAGACGGAGACGATGTGGAGACCAGTGGCCTTCGGGAGACCAGTGGCACGAGTCCTCTCGCACATACAAAAGCAGTTGCAATGATTCCGGATGATTCGATGGTATTTCATACCAAGCATCAAATGCCTTCCATATTATTGATGTGATTTGACTTCAAGGATCAGTGCAACATTTTGCCTGCGCACCATCAAACGGCGACAAATCAATCTTCCCGTGGCATATTAAATGGATGACCATTGATGACCAGGTTCTTTATCTCCGTCCATTTCTTTCAACCAAAGAGCGAGCTTTCTAAACATACAGATGCTGCACATGCCCTAAGAAGTAGCCTATATTATCAAAACATCACCTGAAAGACGGCGCTGTCACCACACGCTCGCGGGTCGCAAAACGCGCACATCGCAAAACGACCACCCGCTCCCTCCAGCGCGCTCTCGCGGACTGGACTGGACCGACTCCGACTGCGAGCGAGCGAGCGAGTTCGACCCAGGCGCGCCAGTTCGACCCTGGAGACGAAGCTGCCGGGCCTGGTCACGGCCACGGGCCCGGCCACAGCCACGGAGAAGCTGCCTGGCGCGGCGACACCGTCGAGTGAGAAGGAGAAGGAAGCTTGAGGAAGGAGCAAGTGTTTGAGGTGTTTGAGGACTGGTGAAAGGATGTGAAAGTCAGAGCTTTTCTTTTGAGATACTGTGATACATTGTGATATTGATACTCTTTCAGGTATCAATCAAGCTGTTGGATCCCATCTGATGATGTATGAGGGTGTATTAGCCCGCAAGGTTGAGCTTTCTATCAGATTCCCTGACAATTTGCGAACGAATCATAGTATATAAACGAAGGTCAATGGTAGTTATTGATGCTCAATGACCCGACCAAAACCAAAAAGAGCCTCTCACCAAGAGCACACCTCTGCCTTACATAGTTGGACCTTCCACCAAGAATTAAATACGCACTCCACTGGCTGGTAGCAAGAGTTGAACCAATCCTTTTGGCGTTTGGCGTGATCTTCAGTTCAGTCAATTCGCAGCCAGGAAGGAGGAACATCGAACTCATGTTCATCGTTCGATGGTCGGTTTTCGGAAGGAAGTTCGACGATTTTTTGGAAACGAACGGGCCTGTCCAAAGGTCTGACAGGCAAAACCCCGGCAGCTGAAGATCAGACGATCGGTGTGTGGCTAGGCTGATCAGTCAAAGCAGGTTGGCAGCTGGCTGTTTGTAGTCTGGCAGGTATGATGCCATTTACTTCGGACAGCTATCTGAAAGCTGATATGATGTAATTTTAAGATAGCTGATTGGATTTGTTACCAAAACACTGTGGTTTTGGACCATGGTGAGTTGTAGATGTTGTAGGTTGAACAAATGTAAGGCCTCCTGCCACCATTCCATCTGAACATGTGCTCGCAGACCGTTAGTCTATTCCGCTTACCAACTCCTCTGCATGGAAAGTAATCCAACCATATTATATAAATATAAATATATAATATCATATGTCGCTTGCATCCCTTGGTACTGTATGAAGTGTTCACAGAAGCTTGGATTCTTTTTGCACTTTGGACAGTCCTGCAGAGATGAGATCGTTGAGTTTTCCATGAGCGACCCCCTCTTTCTTCAAATGCACGTTCACACGGCTCTGTTGCCTAGCGGAGCCATCAGCCAACCATCACTTGCTGCCGGTTCCGCGCATGATGCGCAGTCAAGCGCCAAGTTTTGGCGTTGCACGTTTGCGACTTTTTAGATTGGCCAACCGTGCCACAGGGCGCTGCGACTTTGTCCCGCCGAGCTTTTCCACATCGTGTCTTGCCGTGGAGGCGAAGAAAGGTCGTCTCCCAGCGGCCCACTCAAGAGAGGTCCATCTCCCCCGTTCGTGCGGAAGGTTCGTTGGAGGAAGAAAAAACACCGGTTGCAGGACATGTTTCCAGGTTCCTCAAGCAAATCATTGGAAGATTTGTGACTTGTCAGGAGATGAGCTTCCACAGTGGGAGAGAGTGGTCGCATATGTAGTGTGACTGGCATGACGTCGTATGGCTCTGTCTGACTGTGCTCTCCGTCCAGAGTCAGCGCTGTCGGTCTGGAGTAGTCTTGGAGCAGTGGTTGGGGTCGAGGCTCAAACATGCGCAGTTGAGTTGAAAGAAAGGGAATGAACTGCGTTTATCTCAGTCTCCACAGTAGAAGAATCTATCAAAAACACATAGAAGGAAACGTGCATCATACCATACCACACCCATCTCTACTGGAGACTAAGCCAATTCAGGATTTTTCAATGTCCTGCTTTCCCTTACATTCCTTCCACAGGTTCATGGTCACGTTCGCTCATTTTCAGACAATGGGAATGACATTCTATGCAGGTTTTTACCGAGGCCTGGTTAGAGTAAGTGTCAGCAGCGGCTTCGTTTCGGGGGTCTCACGTGAATTTTCATGTTTTTGCTGCGGATCTTTATCGAGTTTTCATCGAAAGGAGCTCAAACCAAAGGCTTTGTAGCCATTACATCCCGAAGATCTTTTTCAAGTCCCCGCCCCGATCGAATCTTCTGAAGCTTCTCTTTAAGACCCCACAGATGGATGCGCAAGAGCGCACGTGGGGTCAAGCTGGCTTGGAGCGGTTTAGGAATGCTGGGCTGCGTCGCCTTCGGGTGAAAAAGAACGACGTGGACCGTCCGCCACTCCAAGGTCCGCTACTCCCTCGTTTGTTGGGTTTGAAGAAGGTGATGGCAATGCAAAAACATCTTTCAAACACCTACTAAGTTGAAAATTGGGACTTGACACCTATAGCCTATAGGGCCTATAGCCTTCAACAAGATCGGTAGCTCGAGCTACTCGGTGTTTAGCTTTGGTTCAGCTTTGATGAGTTATCATGAGTTATCATGGGCTCCGGTTTGCTCAATATATAGCCGTGACAAAACCCATCCAAGGCATCAACAACTTCTCACCTTTTGTTCTTTCACGCAAGGTTCATACACATCGCCGACGGTCCGGACGGTTCATCGTTGCAATTCACCAGTTCGTTCATCGTCCAACTCCACTTGGCGAGTCTTCGCGAGTCGAGTTTCACCTGGATTTTGCGCGATGAACACTCAGCATCACGAGAGCGACGTAGCCCTGGCAAGTGGGTTGTCCCCAGTTTCCCCAGCCACAGAAGCGGCTGTAGTTTCTAGGCTTTGGAGTCTGTCGGCTTCGTGCACGTGCGATCCAGTCGTCTTGGAGTGAAGCGGTGAAGCGGCTGCCGTTTTGGCGAGACGAATATCCAGACATTGGGAATAGACATTGGAATCCACCAGCTTGGACTGGTAGTCAGTATACTGGTTATGCAACGAGTGCTGCCATTAGGCAGATGAGAATCTATTGTCCCTAGCTATAATTGATAGCCACCGGGGAGAATGTAGGAAGCCTCAAGCCACCTAGACTTTCCAAGTAACATCCGTTCTATTCTCGTCCCAACTGGATATCTAGAAGCTAAATGATCCTCGTGGGAGTTAGTCACAAAGACCGACACATCATGATCAATCCAACCATTCACAACCGTTCTCACAAGCATTCCAACGAAAAACACTTTCATTCGATGAGACTCTGCACGCATCGCCGTTCGCAAGCTGGCAGCCAATCGATTTTCAAGCATGGCTTCAGGATGGGTTCGAGAGCTCCAATTGACGACCGCTGTGAGCGACCGCTTGGTTTGGCGAGAAAGCAGCGACGCTGCAGGTGGTTTGGCATGTGTAGACTGTAGACGAAGAGTACCAAGGCCACAAGAGGTGAAACATAGGACTCAGTCAGGCGGTTCTTTTTGCCCAACAGGGACAAGAAGAATTTTAGAGAAAGGAATCAACAAGCGGGTTGATTGCACAACTGAGAGTGGGGCACGTTTGAAAGTGAGGCACGATCTCGCTGCTCGCGAAGAAAAGCATTCTGGCAAATCATTCTGAAGCAACTCAGAGGGATAAACAATTTCTTGGGCAAATATCCAGGTTGTTGCTTCTTTTTCAAAGAACTGAACTGCTTCTTTGCTTCTTGGCAAGATCTTCCTGCTATTTTCAAGTTTCCATTCATAGGATTAGGCCCTCTTCTCTTGCCTATAGTATTTCTCCATCATAGCGTGATCTTCCTTTGCGGTCTTGTACCCCCTCTCATACAATGCTTCCCTCATTTGCAACGGTGTATATCTAGTTGTTTGAGTAAACCTGAGGCTGGCTGTCATGGTGGGAATTGCAATGTTTGGTTCTCTTGAACTAATGGGCTTTTTGATAGGTACATGCAGTTGTAGATTTCGATCCATGTTTAACCATCTACAGTGCAATAAGAGGTATAGGAACACCTTCATCCAAAGAATAGAACATCTCTCTCATGATGAACGGGCACTGCGTGAACGGGCACACCGTTCGGGCACCCCGTTCGTGACATTCGAACCCGAAGGACCGGTTTAGCTTGGGGTGGAAAGAACGATGCCGCGGGTTTGGTTAGGGCGGAACACATACAAAACAACGCAGATGTTCTTGGTCTACTTGGTCTACTCCTTGTTTGTTGGGTCCTGAAAGAGTCTGCTAGTCCGAAGCTTTCGTGGCAGTCCGGTTCTTTTCTTTTGTTTTGCCCAAACAATGCATCTGACTGAATGCATCGTGATGGTCACTCACAAGTACTCACAGCAGTCTGAGCTTGAACCTTAAAGCCCAAGCAAGAAGCGGACTTGACTTTTCTCCTGAAGCAGTTTCTACTCTCTTGCGCTTTTCAAGAGACCTTGTAGGTAGAGCGTGATAGCTATGTTTCCCCCTGGCGGCGCCGCCGGAAGACAAAAGAAGGTTAACATGAAAAAGTGCGTGGCAGCCGTGGCATTGGGATCGCAAGCTGGACACTGGACACGTTTCAATGCCAAACGACACCGTTTCGTCTGAATCTGTCGTTTCTGAATACGTACTTCGAGTGTCATTCCCAAGAGCAAACATAGAAGATCTTGGCTTTTTTTTCGACGCCCAGTGTGCAGGACCAACTAAAGACCATGTCATTGTATACTACCACCGTCAACGCTTGCACGCTGCCCCAACGTACGAAGTTCGGTCTCTCCCCACCGTTGGGCTCGTTGGAGGCAAATCCGGGACATCACCGCCGATCCCTCAGAGATCATCGGAACCCGAGCGGATCGGGGCGGTGCTGATTGTGATGTTCGGTGTGATGTTCGGGCTCTGGGGCCACTTTTGTTCGGTTGTTGAACATGGGTGAGTTCGGCGTTCCGTCAGACAGAATGGGTCGATGGGGTCGATGGGGTCAATGTGATAGAAGGTGAATGTGATAGACGGTGATAGACGGTGATAGACGTGGAGTAAGTTTGGGGGAGTCGACATTGTTTGCTTTGGTCGACCAGAGGTTGATTTGGGTCTGTGACAGAACGTGATCCCAAGAAGCCTCCCAAAGCCAAGCATCAACAAGTGGACAAGGGATTCTTCAACCAGTTCTGTGCGAAAGGGGTGGACTTATCTATTCCCCCTACTGTCCAGCATAGAATCGGAAATTGTATAACATTGCTCAGGTTGTGTACCGAATTCATCCTTCCACATATTCTGCAGCAAAGAATCAGGCATGTGATCCATTTGTGATCCATGCTTTCTTGAATCAAACACTCACTTTTCCACCCATCCTGGCCCATCCTGATCATTCTCATCTTGATCATCCTGAAGCCCGAAAACACCATTTATCAAGATGTCCCTCTTCTTGTCCCGTGTGGCACATCCCTTGTCTTTCACATCCGTGGTTCTATCCTCTTCGGTTCTATCCTCTTCGCACATCCGTGTCGCACACTGTCGCACTTGTTTTTCGCTCCTGCACACGCTGTGTCAGAAGTTCGCCTTCTCCTCCTCCACGGAGCAAAGAATGATCTCTGAGCAGCGGATGAAGGTGCGCGGTTAGAGATGAGCCCGAGGAGGGACGGTTATACTGTGTCAGTTCTGTATAGCTTTCAACGACCATAACGACCAAAGGGTATACAGAACACCAGAGAGTCGGAGGGCCCGACGACGGGATGGCGGAAACCGAGCCACGACCGGGTCTGTGACCGGGTCTGTGACGGTGGGTTGGTTTTGGGATGAAGATCGAGGGCCTTGAGAGTGATTGATTAATTGAGGAGAGTGGAGCTGTGCTATGGAGTGGAGGCCTTCTTGATTTCTTGAGGTCATTTGTACGGCCTAAATTCATTCAGGGCAAAACCATGACAATCCCTCAGGAGGCCAGCCACTTGAGGAGACACCTTAGGAACAGTTACTCATGCTCCGCCAACTGGCTCGTGGATCTGCCCCGATTGGGAGTTCGGAAAACAGCTGGAAGCTGCTTTCACCTCCAACACCACACCCAAGAGGCCAGGCACCCCACCCCACCACCCAAAACGGTCCCACCATGTCCCACCCTTCCATCTCCACCATGTCCCACCCGCTCGCAGCCTCCGAAAACGACCCGCTGTCCCAGCGCGGCGTGCGCGTTGACGCTCGGTGGCGGTCTCCGAGGGCGGGACCTCGCCGGGCGGTGCGGCGTGCCGGTGCGGCAGGAGCTGGAGGATCTGCTTGGAAAGAAAACAGAGGAGCCTGGGTCAGGAATCGCCTCCTCACCTGCCCATTGTGTCATCGCCTTAGGGCTTTCGTGCTTCCTTTTTTTTGGGGAGAGTTGTTGAACAACTTGCAAGGTTGGCAGGCTTCATGTTCCTTTCTTGATCTCAAGACCAGTGCAGTAAAGAAGGGGAAAGTAGTAGAGGAGGGTCGAGGGTAAAGCATTTCGGGGTAGTTTTTTTTGCTGCACAGACAGGCCACTCATGTTCAGACGCACTCAATCTGCATGAATTTGCTCAGAGATCGCCCCGGGTTCGGAAAGCAGAAGCCTCCTTCGGAAGATTGGCTTCATGAAATCCTCCCTGAAATCCTGGTTTTGCTCATAGGAAGATCTTTTACTTAATCTATTCTTGAGTGAATCCCCCTCTCAGAAAGGGTTTTCCATCTCTAAAATCCGGCCACCAAGTCCACCGCAGTGTCCCCGCTGCCAAGTCACCCGTTCGCCACTTCCTTGCGGCAGACGTCGCTCCCGCGCAGCGCGAGGAGTCGGAGCAGCTGCAGCGCGAGCGTCAGGAGATCGACGCGGAGTGCGCGCAGGCCGAGCGGCGCGGAGGAGCGGCGGAGGAGCGGCGGGAGGTGCGGAGCGGCGTGGCCGGTCGAGCGTCAGAAACATGAAGTAAGAGTCCAAGGAAGACAGAGTCCAAGGTGAATAGAGTAATTACACGTTTTTTACTAATGTGTGTGGCATGAGTTTTTTCCTTATGTGACGTCGCCATGTAACAATTGAACATCATCAACTCAGAACAGACCCTCTGATTGTTGCATGGCTCAAGCCTTTGCCCAGTGCGCCACATCCCCAGATCGGCCGACGTCATCTCAGCCATGCTCGGAAAGTCTGTCTTCGTGGCTGCAAGCCTCAGCATGGTCCATTTGGTGCCGCTTTTCTTGCAGCCCTTGCAGGCATCCTGGGGTTGGACTGCCGGCATGCCCATGTGCACGCCCACATTCGCTTTGGAGGTTGGACCTTCGATGGTTCCTCCACCATTGCAGCAGGCACCTCGGCCAATGTGACCTGCAGCAACGGTGGTACGCCATCAGTAATGACAGTGGTGTGCCCTGAGAGCACACCCATCAACAAGACGATGGATCCAGAGTGGTGGAGTACATGCGGTGGCGGAGATTCCTGCAAGGCTAACAAGGAGATTGGCGATGAGGTGCAGTGCGTTGCTCCCTCGAGTGGGGCAGCCACGCTGGGCTTTGGCGCAACACTGGCTGCGTTCTTTCACTTTGCCTGATTGTTGAGCCTTGAGCTACGATCATGCCAGCCTGGCACAGCCATTTTCCGTTGCACAGTCCTTTTCGCCCGTGGATTTTGTGTCTTACGGGATCTTAGGCAAGGATTCTAAGAGAATCCGAGCACACTTCGCGAGGACAGCATTCAAAGACACACTGTCCAGTCGCACCTGCACATCTTGAGCTTCTTTCCCATTGAGAGACAGCGGAAGAAAAGGGCCGCAAGCGGCTTCACCGCAGCTGCAGTGGCCATCACACACATATGCTAACTATATGTTTTTTGTGATTGAACAAACATAGTGCTTAGATGTGTTTAGAAGTTCTGCAGAAGCATGATATGTTTTTCGTGTTTGATCACCGTCCTTTCCGGTTCCCTGTTGTTTCCTGTTCCCAAACTCCCCAGACCCCACCGAACCACCGGAAGCACTGGAAGCACCGGAAGCACCCTGAACCCAGCGGGGCCCAGCTTTTTTTGCTTGCTGCGTCTCCGCGACGCCGCGGCCAGGTGCGGGTGGACGTGGCGGACTTGGAGCAGCAGAGTCGAAGCTTCTTGGAGGACGAGACGACGCAGACGACGCAGACGACGCAGACGACGAGACGACCGCGCGCGCGCGCGCGAGGGCGACCGGGCGACGACCGGGAGATGGTCTCGTGGAGACGCCGCTGCGAAGCGCAGTTGTTGGGAGCTGAAGCCGGGTGCGGGAAGCCGGGTCCGGAGTCCAGGTATGGTCCGGGAATGGAAAGGAAGGGGAGTTTTGAGGATCGAACTTGCGATGGTCTCAGAAGATGGCTTCGGGTTATGGAGGCATATGGAGGCGGGTTAGAATGGATGTGAGGTGATGCGGAGGGGGGCATTTGAGGTGCTGGCAAGCACTGTGTTTACGTCAAACATCAAGCGTCCACAAAACCATGGCCGGGCAGGTGCAGGAGTGATGGTTGACATCCAGAGAGATTGTGCCAAACTGGCTGTAAAGAACTGTTTCAAAGTAAGTAATATGCAACAACGCAAGCAACATCAAGCAACCTGCTTCTTGTTACTAGTAGCGATGCACTTGTTACTAGTAGCGAAGCAGACTTGTTACTTAGTTCTTACTCCATGGTGAACATGATCTTTGAGAGCTTCGCCTTGTCGAGCATGCCGCTCCTGGTCCAGGTTGATCTGGTGAAGAGTCTCCCAAGTGTGAAGGCGTTTTTCCATCACAGCTCATTTCTTATCATTTGTCAAAACGAACTGCTCCCCAGACATGGTCTTCTTTGAGGGTCTACGTTTTGGGGGCAGACGTCCCCAAACGAAGTGCTCCTCCTTCCGATCCGATCGCGCAAGCTCAATTCTGCCTCGCTGCGCTCTTGGCTCGATTCAGCCTGCTGCCCGCTCACCCACGCATGGCAGCCTGATTTGGTGCCTCCGGCTATCGGGTGTGGAAGTGGAGAGGGCAAGTCGACTATAGTCACTATGAGCTCCCACCCATGGGGTGGGCCTCCCAAGAAAGATGGCAGGCAACAAAGTATTTTTTTTCACAAAAAGCGCAAACAGCTGAATTGGTCCCTTCGTTCTCATCCTTTCCGGTGTCCAAACTCTTGAAAAAGCACGATCAGTCCGCCGCCCGCCGAAGCGCGCCGCCAGCGGGTCGCCAGGCTCCAACAGTTACTACTGCATCATCATTAGCCACCGCTGACGCGGAGGCATCGGCAGTCACAAGCGTCTCTGTGGGTCGCTAGCGATGAGAACACCTCAGGGCGAACGTCTAGTTCTCAGATCTCTCACTCAGTCCTGTGGTTTGCTTCCATCTCGGCTTGCCGCCGAGGGCGACCGAATGATCCAGGACATGTGCCTTCAACTACTCACTACTCTTCCAGAATACGCCACCTGCTTCCTCGCGTGTTCATGATGTTGTTTTTTTCTTGATCGGCTTTTATCCGACCAAACACACGTACAGTACAATGCATCCGACTGGGCATGCTTGGCGAGGGCGAAACACGAACTTCTCAGTGTTCCACGGGCGAAGCGAAACGCCGGGATTCGGGAGGCGAACCTATCAGCGTACACTGCACCTGAGCAATGAACTCGAGTTCGTACACAAGCAACATGCCCGGGAGCTGAGTGCGTTTCACATCGTGGTGCGGAGGAGGATCGGTGCGTGCGTGCGGAGGATCGGTGCAGAGAGGTGGTTATGAAGGATTCGACAACGCTCGGTTGGTGGCCCTAAGACAGGATCAAAAGGCCAGGCTAAAGCTCGACTGGCAGCCGATGGGTGTTTGGAGTTTGAAGCAGAACTGATTCTTGGAGATGAAGGCCAAGCTTCTTAATGCTTGTTGCTATAATATGGACGATGTGAAAAACAATGTGTGATTCAGAGGCAAACAGAAGGGTAGTGCACAGAAAGAGTTTTGCACAAACCTGTTCTACTAACATCGTGGAAGGCGCGGGACATTCGTGGAACCCGGGGCTATTCGTGGACGTTTCGTGGAACGGTGCAGTAGGAAAACTGACAAAATCCCAAAAACCTTCGCAGAACTTCGTGGAAGGTATTTTTGATGCACCAGCTTCGTATAAGATCGTATAAGTGATGTTTGCTGACCCCCTTGCCCCACACACACCCTCCATCTAGCCTTCAATGATGATGTATGAAACGTAGAGTCTGAAGCTTGGAACGTGGGTGTTTGTCTGAAAAAGTGTGAGATGAGCTTTGTTGCCCGAGGCTTAGACAATTAAACGTGTAGAATCTACCAGCCTCAGAACACTTTACGACATCGTCTTGGCCAGAACGAGGAGTATGACAGCCATATACAGCCATACAATCGCCACGGAATACCATGGGAACATGAAGACCATGGGAATTGCCATCAACCTTCACTATGCATGCTGAGGCCCGTGGTTGAGGGAGACTTCTTTATTCAGGCCGACCATTTGGGACGCCGCGCAGCGTGTTTCGCCGGACTTGGACAGGCCTCCGCCGGAGCCGCCTGGCCTGTCCACCGGGTTTCCATGGAACACGGCCGGGCACCGTGTGGGCAAGGTATGAAAGGCCAAGTGATTTTTTTCAAAGGCTCTTCTAGGTTGTAGTAACAAGGGCATCGCTATGAACGGAACAAGGACGCTACGAACGGCCGCTACGAACGGGGCTATTGGCCATTCTATAGGTTGTAGCAATTTGCAGCAAATTCTAGCCACCAGTGCTTGCCAGTTTGGGAAGACTGCAAGGATGTTGCGACTGAAAAAAACAGAACTCGTGGCAGGCATGGGCCTTTGTGATCTCTGCGCGAGTGGAGCTGGGGCTGTTCCTGGCTGCCCTCTTGGACTGGAGCTCAGACTCCGCTCGCGGACTGGGACCGCCATGGACAGCCTGAGGTGTTCAAAGTGATGTGTTGGTAAGCATCACTTGTGTGGTAATACCAACATCATTCACATGAGATGTCAGCATCCCAATGTCAGCATCCGAGTTACTAGTTTCTCTTTTTATGAACGGTGTTTGCTCCATGCCTGGTGCTGAATCACACTAGTACCAGAAGGACCAGAAGGTTCGGATCTTGCCCACCAACTCGTTGCGCTGCGGGGGTCCGTTTAGGCTACCAAAGACGTAGGACACACCCACACCATGCCAGACCCCATGGGAGACCTCGGAGACCTGATCTTGGTGACCAATGAGACGAACCATTGCTGAAGTTGATCATGTTGCCCAAAATTGGGGGTGGAGAGCTCCAGAAATCACCCTCCAAGGAAGCCACAACAACGGGCGGATGAGAAGCTCGTTGATCAGTCGGAACCACACGGATGTTGAACAGATGGGACATTAACCCATATGGACACACACTTGAGCACACACGCACACAGCACAGTCCACCATTTGCCGCGCGGTTTTCGACCTCCACATGGAAGGTCTGGAACATTTGGGTCGACCTCCGGGTACCACATGCCATGACCCTCTGCTATGGAGTCTTAGAACTGGCAGAGCCTTGTTCCTCACCACGTTCGGCCACGTTTGGCCTCGTTCCTCACCTCGCCTAGTTCCTGCAGTCGAACTGCGGAGCACTGTTTTGAATTCATTCCTGAGTGCAGTGTTGGAGTAGTGGCGGGCGCAGGCCCGCCTGCCATGACTGGACTTCGGTTTTTTGGACCCTCAGGCGCACTTCCTCCTCTTTGGCAACTCCACTCCCTCCAAGTCGAAACGAAGCAAGGACCCGGACCTGGATTTGGTGGAGCGGATGGAAGGGTCTGGAAGGGTCAAGGATGGCGCCAAAAAGGGCCGCCACCCTGGGTGTCAGGTACACTTGGTGGAACCATCTATGAAGGGGAGTTGACCAACCGTTTTGTTTGTTTGTAGAGGGAAATGGTCATCCTTCGCAGGCCATGCCATCCACGTAACATCACCTAACCATGAATATTGCAGGGAGTGTCGGAGTGTTTGTTTGTTTTTTCCATGTTTTATCGTCTCTAACAGCGTTGAAGCTAGTGGGCAGCTTGAGCACGACTTCGACAGCTGAGCACAGATATAGGTCTTCAGTTGCTTTCGTGTGATCGATCAAACTTGAGACTCTGACCATTTTTAGTAATGATATGTATCCTCACGTGAGAACAAATTCATCAAGACAAACTGGCCTTGGCTTAAGCAGGAAGCCCATGCAAGAAGAGACGAAGCATCCTGTGAATTGAATGGGGATTCTTGAGGCTTTTTGGGGGTCGAAAGAAGGCGCTTGGGACAGTCGCCACCCTCACCTTGTTGGAATCAGATTCACAGCTCTCCTGTGATGTTCCTATCTCTTTGGTTTCCCTTTTGAACCACCCTACGTGAGAAACCCACACGCCGAGTTCACCGAACACCTGGGTGTGAATGGAGGCATGACCATGACGACCGACCCGAGCCGAATCCCTACGCAGCTCGTGTTTCTACTCCGCCACCGGTGGCATTGAGTTCGTTTCCGCGGAGGAAACGACCTTCACTCCGCAGCACTTCACCTCCGCCAAGGACGGCCGCGGTCGGCGACCGACGCCGGTACGTCGGTCGTCGCACATCGAGTCGATGGCCCGGCCGACATCGGACGGTCGTCGTGTCTTTTCGTCCCGGAGGGTTTGGTTTTTTGTCTCCGAGCCCTCGGAGGATGGTTTCATGGGCTTTGTTGCTGGTTCCATATCTTCATGTTTGTGTTTGGCTCATCCATGTCAACTCATTTTGGGCCGAACTATACCTTAAGGAAACACTCACATCAGCAAACATAAGCTGTTTGATGCTTTTCACCTTCCAACCGCACTGGCTTGGGTCAATTCAACTGGTGGTAGAGCTACGCGGCTTCCTTTCACAGATGACACCGCTAGTTGCAAATCGACCAAGTCTCTTTGCGCAGGAAAAGAACCCAAATTGATGGATCCTTGATGTGTTGGTGTACCAAACACCCACCGTGGTTTTAGGGTGCTTGGTACATCTTGCTACATCTTGGTACCCTACTAGATGGTGATTTCCTTTGGCGCCGTGGCCGCCAAGACAACGTCAAGGGAAATCCGACCAGATTCATCCAGTGGATCTCAAGGTGCTCAGGATGAAGGTGCTCAGATCTCTTGGTGGCAATCCTGAGCACCGTCACAGATGTCTTGGCGTCCCAGGACGTAGAGCTGGCCTTCTCCGACGCCTCACGCTCCAACAACGCCCGCCAGGCCCCCTTCGGGGGCCTTCGTCGGGGGAAGGACGACGACCATTTCGACGGCGCGCTGTTGACTCGAGGGTTTCGAAGAAATGGAAGCAAACACTCGCAATATGGAGAGGTTGAACAGAAAGTTTAACATAATCACTTGCATTTTATCACGAAAGGTAGCCCTTTAGGGGATACCTTGAGTTTGACTTGCGAAGCAAGTGTCGGCGAGTCCGGGTCTAATAATTGATCATTCAATTCAACCCCCCCCCCCCTCGAATTGATTTTTCATTACAGACCCCCCCCCTCTAAAATCAATTCTCTCCTGGAGAACGTCTTCGTGAGCCTCTCATGATTTCAGGATAGTTGAAACCCTTTTGAACATTCAGAAAGAGTGAATATGCAATTCTAATCACGAAAGGTGTTCCCCGAGGGGATACATACCTAGAGTTTGTTTTGTGAAGCACGTCAATTCTCTCCTGGGGAGCGTCTTCGTGAGCCTCTTATGGTTTCAGGATAGTTCAAATCCTATGATGTTCCGATTCAATGCTCACCGATGATCTGAGCCATGGGGCAAGTTTGTTTTCCTAAGAATCTTTTTGAACATTTCGAGAGCATATGTTTGAAAATTTAGAGTGCATATATATGAACATATATTTACGAAAGGTCGCCTCCGAGGGGATAAATCACCATGTCGAACATTGCATTTTTGTTTCTGCCTCTCGCGTTCTCTTCTCTTCCCGCTGTCCTACCTTTCGTGTCTCCCTCCTCTCAAGTAGATGGTTAGTTTCCTAGTGTTTCCTGAGATTCTGGATGCTCAAGAAATATGTGGCAATATGTGGCAACGTGAATGAGTGATGCCGCTCAGGTTTGTGGATCTTTCACATTCTTAGAAGTCCAAATGATTTGCAAGGTGTTATTTTTCCTGGCAGCCTCAGGACAGGTCCCAACGTGTTTTCCAGGGTCTAGACGCCCGCCATTCTCGCTGTAAAGAGAGCGGTGTGTGGCACAGTTTGCGTGGCATCCTGCTGCGCTCTGGGAATCGGACTAATCGTATGGGAATCAACGACTTCAAACCCAGTTCACCCATTCTCGAAGGCCAGCAGCATTTGGCATTGCTAACCCAACAGCACACTATTTACCTCTATTAACCCCAGTGCCCCAACAAAGTGGCCACAATACACCGCAACGGCCGCAGCAGTGCATTGTTTGTTTGCCCAAGAAAATCCCATGGCCCCGCCCACTAGTAACAAGGGCATTACTACTAGGAACAAGAAGCTACTAGGAACAAGGGGCATTGCTACTATAGTAACACGAAACTACTATAGTAGCACAGGATGCCAAGGGCATGACTCATGCCATGCGCCCCCGCCGCTCCACGTTGGCAGGTTCTGAATTGCTGGTCCGCTGCGAAGAAGTTCCCCGAGTCCATCGATGTCCCTCTGGCGCGGACGCCTTGACCGCGGTCTCCCGTGGACCGGAGACCGGACGGACCGGCAGGAAAGCCAGGCCAGGCCGCCTTGTCCTGTGGACCCAAGGGTACGGAGAGTGGTACGGAGAGTGGTACGAACGGCTGAATTTTGGGTGGTGGAAGGAACACAGAAGAACACATCGTGTTGGAACACGATGCGATGATGATAAGAACCACGATCTTCTTGATATCAATACCATTCAATACCCCATTCGTAGTAACAAGAAGCTATTAGGAACAAGTGCATCGCTACTAGTAACAGTGCCTTACTAGTAGTAACAAGAAGCATCATCCTCTGAACGGTTGACCTGTCTGCACCTCGCACCTCGAGGCGCACGTCGTCGAGGCGATGCAACGTTTTAAGAAGGCGCGGGGTTTGCGCGGTCGCGGCGTGGGCGAGGAGTTGGCGAATGAAGAATTGGGGTACACCATGATGGTACACCGGTACACCCCATAAAGCTTCAGGCATGAGAAAGAGGATTTTCAAACACGTGAAGCAACTCCATGTGGGTTCTGCAGGTCCCTTAATTATTAACAGTGGTCTACGGAGTGAAATGGAAAGCAAGCCCACCGCCTTTAAAATGGTGCAAATGTTGTGCAGGGGTGCGGCCTTTGCACTAGGAAGGCAACCAAAAGTTCATGTTCCACAAATTCGGAGCCTCCCCTTTGGTCGAACGCTGCGCGAACGTTGCGACTCTTCTTGCGGCACTCTTCACAGGATGGAGACTACATCGTGAGTTTCTGGGCAGCAGACAAACATGGCATGGTTCTGGGCAAAGTATCAGGGGCTTGCCTTTAGCAAACAAACTCACGACTCACGCCCCTGATTGGTTTTTCTTTTTCCTCATCAAGTTTCAAATACACTATTCGATCTATTCGCAATCGGTCTTCACCTTGTTTTTGAGCCACTTTTTCGAGCTGATGAGACCCCGCGACGTCTGCGCGCCACGTGCGAGTTCGCCCCGTTTTCGCCCGCCGAGTTCGCCCCCGTTCAGCGGCTCGCTCGCCAAGGAGAGATCTCCGCCTACCTCGCCAAGCATCGCAGCTCGGTGCAGCGGTTGGCGGTGGAACTGGTGGTGGGTCTCCGCAGACAGAACCCAAGGGTTCTCCAAAAACGGTGGGTCGCCAAGAAAGCAGAAAACACTGGTGACGGGATTGCACCGACTGGTGGAGGATTGCCACCCAGCTGGTGAGGTAGGAAGGAGGATTTAAACCGATTTGGCCATGTTTGATGTCAATTCTAGGTCTCTAGGTCCTTTTCTGTAGACTGATGTTTGATCTTCCAAGCTGCATACCTGCACAGCGTGTTCAAGCCGAAGACGTCTGGAGTCTAGAGGACCAGCATGTTTGTCCCGCATTCAGCTTGATGCGTGAGCTTGAGCGTCGTTTCCGACTCCAGAGGCCAGTCTACCCAGCTCCAGGCACCCTGCAGGGTTTATCTCTCCCGGTTTAAATAGCCACCCATTGTGATAATGTCCTGCACTGCAACAGCGTTCAAGGCAGAGTGACGAAAACACAGAGCTATCCCCGAAGGCTTTGTGGCGATCACCAAGCCCAAGCATGCCTAAGCTCTTGAGAAAGCATCACTATCTTCGCTGAGCAATCAAATATTTCGATCTAGAAGTCTTTTCGACATGGTCGAATCCTATCGAAAATGATGCCCACGAGCAAAGGCTCCTGCAAGATGCAAGTCATCAATGAGCCTCGGCACGTCCGATCGCTCTCCGATGCGGGTTCCCCGTCGACGGCGGAACCCGTCCGTGTTCGGAGAACCTCCTGCGGGGGGCGGGGCGTCGGTTCTCCGGCCGTGTTGGATCCGCGCGGATCCAGTGAACTCAAATGCGGATCCGCGCCGCCAAATCCCAGACACTCCATGGGACTGCCATAGGACTGCCGCCCCCTTGACCCCCCTGGCACCACCCCAACTGATCGGCAGTCCTATGGCAGTCCCAGACGCGGTCCCTTGTACTCGGGTCGTTTGAACGATCTCGTCGAGTACACGGAAACCACACACGTAGACCCCGAAAGAGTGAGATGTCAAAGCCAATTCGGACCTCACACTCTCCTCGACGAAGCCGGGCAAACTGGGGAATCTGTCCACCCAGACGCGACCCTGGGCCCTCATATGGAGCGTATGGAGGGGTCTTGGGGTCTCAAATCGTCAGGTTTTCAGGGAACCAAGGGGAGTGCAGTTCCCGCCGTGCTCTGCGCCCAGTTCGTGGTCTGAAAAAGATCAGACATGTTGGGTACAAACGGATTGGAGTGTGTAGCTCACACAGGGAGACCGAACCGCCGGCAACGACACCCCTCGACGGTTCGGGAAATAGAAGAAAGAACTGATATATCCCATACACTCCATTGTATGCCATAATATGCCTACATTGACCCCCCAAACCACCCCAATGTAGGCATATGGCATACATGGAGCGTCTGGGTATAGAACATTATAGAACTATAGAACTGATTCTCCCCTTTGAAAACTGCTTCGTTGGGAAGATATGGTTTCAGCTTGGGGACCGTCCACGAGGCGCTGGCTGTAGAGACGGTCCCTTAGCTCGACTTTGGGAGCTAAGGTTTCCAAGAGAGAGCTTTGTACTAAGGAGTTTGATGCACTTCCACGATGCGTTCGATGGGTCGTTTTCTCGTTTGCCGAGGATCTCCTGGACTCCTTGGCGAAACGTCGTGGGCCTGAGAAACGACGCGGAGAAGCATGGACAAAACGCACCGTTTCACGGTCGGAATCGGCATGGTTGTGGTGCGGGGACTGGCAACAAAAGACACCTGGGCTGGACCCAGAAGCTGGCAAGGTGCCATTCTTGCTTCAGATGACGCAATCGGAATCGGGATCTTCTATTTGGTGGTCTGGCTGATTTCATTGATCTTTGCCTCTTTTCGAATGAGGTCATGATTCAGACTTCGTGGCGGCATTCCTCAAGAGCTTGCCAGCAGGCGGAGATGAATGGGAGCTTTCTGTTGGGCATTCAGGAAGCTCCCTTCTCGGTTGAGACGTTGAACAGGAGCCGAAGGTTAGCTCTTGGCTGGATGAATTTGCAAGACATACTGTACTTGAAACAATCATGGAAGTGGACCATAGCCCATAGCTCCTTGTGGTTTTAGGGCAAGATCAAAACCTCGATGAGCCTCGGACTCCCTTCGCTCTTCTCCCTTCCAGCGCATGCAAACCGGGAGGCTTTGCGCTGGACAGCCGCAGCTATGAGATCCTGATGAACATGCACTTCACGTGGGGTCACCGAATTGGTGGTCGCGCACATCTCCCACGGCGATCCAGGTCGCTGGTGGAACCCAAATCACCTTCGCCCAAAAGGGGAGCCTTCGGGGTGGTACCACGTGGTCGAGGGCGTCTGTGGCTTTTACGAAGTGAGTCCGTTTTGTTATTTGGGACGCTCGGTCGGAGGCTCTGTCGGCATCCGTTACGAAAGACCACATCAGCTAACGTGACTGCCGACGGGAAACATGCAGACTGGACTCTTCATACGGGGCTTGTATTTTTGGATTTCCCCTAAGAATCCAGAAGTAGAGTAACACAGTTGTTGAGCAATGGTTACTTTTTTTTGCACATGAAGGACATTATAGAAAGGTGAACTCATCAATGTGCTGCAGAGGCATTACTCCATAGCATTAGATCAATCGTGCAAGCAAAATGCTAGTATTTTTTGCACAGCCAAGAAGCATCGACCAATTTTACTCCGAAAGCGTTTGCGTAGGTGCGGCCTTATAGCATGTAGGCACCCATTGCAGCCGCACAAGCTCGAGGACATTTCCACGAAGGGTATGTTTTTTGTGCAAGAAAGGCCTCACGCAAGAAAAGGTGAACAATGCCAAGCCGATGAACACCTGATTGTTTGCTGTGTTTTTTGAGACAAAGAGACAACCTCATACTGACTCATACTTATGACTTATGACTCCCATTGATCTTAACTTTGAACCACCTGCTGCCCCGCAAAAGGAACATCTCGGTGTGAACCGCTTCGACTGCCCGCGCGCGTACTCGTGCTCCTTTCGCACGTGCCTTCTCCGCCGTCCGAGGATGAGGAATTTTGAGAAGGTCGATGAGCTGGTGGCGGAAGCCAAGGCCAAGAAGGCGGCTCCAGTCGGGCGCTCCTCTGCGATGGCTCCGCTCGGCACGATGCAAGGTCAGTCAGCGCCGCAATGCTCTCGGTAGTTTGTACTTTTCAGGGCGGCTCTCATGGTGGAATTGAATGGATGATTCAGGACGATTCAGGAATTTTAGTGTAAGAGGGTGAATCATGGACACTCCATGTTCCTCCATGTTCCTCATGAGCTTTTAAGCTCTCAGGATTTGAGACGAGTTGGATTGTGTGCACCTGGATTTGGGACGAGTCTTTGTTGTTCAATCTGCCAGGGAGGACGTGACATGAATCAATCAGGGGCCACCATTTGTGACCAAAAGACCAAGCCTTGCACCGCCTTTGTTGGAATGGTCATACTTTGGGTCTGTCTCGAACTTACCTGTAGCAGACCCAAGTCATACGCGCTGTTATGGTTTTCTATCGACAAACATCTGCGGCCCAGCAGGTGGCTCTGAGCACACGTGCATCGATCGTGATCATTAAGACCGCCTTGAAGACGGAGAACTTTGAAGAGGCAAGGATTGACTTGCGTTGAATTGACAGACTGATGGACTGATGGACTGGGTTTCTCGGAAGTACTGATACATCACAACATATCACAACTGATATACGTACTTAGTCTAAAATTTATGCTTCTTGACTTGACTTGATGTTCAACACTCGCCAAACCGAACCCACCCGATACCAGACCTGGATGCCGCCGGAGCTTCGCACAGCTGGCCGCGCTTTTTGCGGTTCTCTGTTTGGACAGGTTTTTTCGTCCACTACCACGACGTTCAGACTTCGACCAAGCTACCAAGAGAGGTTTTTTGAGACCAGAACGTTCGGACCCTGTAATTAGTGGTATAGGATGGGATGGGCAAAGGCCGGGCTGTTCAACCTCTCTTGGTAGCTAATTAGCTGGCCCCCTATTCATTTTCTTCACTGTTCAAGACTTCCAAAAAGATTCACAGTCAAAGGGACCTTTGCATCTGCCCAATGGCTGATGGGTCTGACTCAGTCTGACTCAGTCTGTTTGTTCTTCTCTACGGTCTCACCGTCTACGGTCGCTCGGATCCGAACGAGTCTCCCGAGGCCTTGAAGACCTTTCGCGAGCTGAAAGCCTTGTGGACCGGCCCGAGCGCTCGGCGAATGGCAGATCGAATGGCTTCAGTGAAGACTTGAAACATGGCATGTTGGGAGAAGGGAGACCATCTTCTTACTTGCCGAAACCGCGAGCAACCGCTCCTTCCGTTCGATCGGGAGATCGGTGGCTCCACGGCTCGGTGCTCACAAGACTTCGCATGGCCACTTCTGGGCTTCTCATCGCTTCAGAAGTGGCATGGCCACGGTCATGGCCATATTGACATGATGTCTGCTCTATAATTATAGACCCCCCCAAAATCCTCCAGATAGATCAAAAAGTAGATCCCTCGCAACAAGAATGTATGGGAAACCGGTTGGTCTAGTCTATGCTGCAATTTCTGTTGCCTATAGGTCATATCTTTGTGTATCCGGTCGGCGCGTCATGATGCTTGCTGAGGCCATGTGGGGCCCTCCACAGCTCCCAGGCAGATTGTCGGGGCCCAAGCAGTTGCATGGGTGCGCAAATAACTCTTTTTGCACGAACTTACCTGCAGAGCCGGCAGTAAAGAAGCAAATCACGATTCTTTTCTAATAAGGCCTTTAGTATATAATATAACCATCATCATCCACTGTTACAGGGATGCTCAGATGCTCCCTAGTATGAGCTTGAGCTCCTGATCAAATGGACGTCAGCTCTAAAAGACCAGCAATTTGAGTGCTTCTTCTGTGTGGTTGACTCACTGCGATGTGTAGATGACCTACTCCCTTTTCCGATGTCCGACCTTCTTCCACCTCCCCAGGACCATCGAGCGGAGATATTGAATTCAATAGGCGACCAGGACCCATCATCAACGACCTTCTTGGTGTTTTCTGGGTCGACTGACATGACATTTCACATCGACCTGTGAGGTGATGTCTCGATCCGGAATTGGTCAGTACTTCGGGCTAAACGCCTGAGGTCGCCCAGCTGGTCGACATGGCCTGCAAGGACACGCCGCGTAGTCTCTCACCGGGTGTCCGTCTCCGGTGCTGCAGAAACTGGGCGACGCGTCGCGACGTGAGACGCGGAGCTGTTCTTGCTGTCAGTTCCTGGATTGTCACCCAGTGGCGAACCGGAAGCTAATGCAATTTAATGGACACTTAATGGCTTTCAAGACGTCCCACATTCACAGATGTTGCGGGATTTGGTCAACTGGAAGACCACATTATGATCAACACTATATGACAAACACTCCCTGCTTGGCCCCCCCATACTTACCAATGTTTCCATGTTGTGTGTGAAATTGCCAACTTATCGATTGCTTCCCCAGGGTCTTGTACCATGGTCAAACCACCATGGCTTCGTCACTGGCACCAACCGCCACCGCAACCGCCACCCCCCCCAACGCTCAAGGCCCGCCCCTCTGCCGCTTGGTTCTGCACCGAGCCACAGGAGCACGAGCTGAAGCGCTTTCTGCCCGAGCTGGCGTCCGTGCCCCTCTCCGAAGAGGTCCCGCGTGGCCAGAGCGGCCACGGGAACCGCGTGGCCATGGTTCGCGTGGAATCGAGCGGTTTCGCGTGGCGAGCGGAACGCGTGGTTGGTGGTTGGGCCTGGCTTTTGGTGAGGGGAGGGTCGGGAGGGTCTGTAGGCCACTGTAGGTTGTTCATGGTTGTTCTCATGGTGGTTCCCTTCCTCACTTCATCATTTGTGGCAAAATCCGTATATTGTGGATAGAGAAGGACTGTTAATGAATAAGCCCCCCTCCCTCATATGAAAGTAACACCTGTAGAATCCATTTTGGTGGGATGTTATTCATCAACAGTCAACCTTAAGGCAAGTGTGGCGTTTATTTCACATGGTGTTCGTCCTATCTTTGGCTGAAAAAACTCCTTTCGGCACTCCTGGCACTCCTGGCAGTCCAAGTGTGGGGACGTTTTGGTGTGATGGCCTCCCACCACCTTCACTTCTAGGCAGCATTTAGGCTTCTTCCAGAGGCATTACTCTGGCAAATGGATTGGTCGCGGAGAGGATTTAGCTGCGAGGAGAGACGTTTTGCATATGTTGCATCAGGTGTGAGAATCCTCAAACTCTAACCCAATCTTTTGAAACTGATGATTGAGGGTTACGATTTGGATTTTTTACTTGGAAGGGCTTCTCTATCTCCATTTTTGGCAAACTCAGCCCTCAGTGAGACTGATCCGTGACCAATTCGCGTGAATTCGCTGCCTTGGTCGTTTGGTGCGGTCGTCCATGCCGTTTTGAAGGGCGTGCATCTCATGGTCAGCGAAGCTGTTCGAGAGAAGGATGAAGAGCTCTTGGGTCAGGCGCGGGTGGGTTTGGGGTGCTGATGGGCTGGTCTGGGGGCCATTTTTTGGGGGTTCCGTGCCGCGGAGCAGTGCTGCGCGTGCTGGCAAGCACGTGCTGTGCGTGCGTGCTTGGATTGGATGGTTGCCACTTTTTGTGCACAAGGTGGACGCACGCGCAGCCGCACCACTCGGCGGTGCATGGCACTCGGCGGTGCAGGTGGAGCAACTGGCACGAGAAAAAGAGATTGTGGTGGGCTCAGTGATTGGAAGCACGCCGACGATGGGATCGCAAAGAGGGTCGGTCGTGTGGTCAAATCGCAGCAAGCAATCTAGTTGCAATGCCATATATTCGGGTCATTCACTGAAGAACAAGCTTTGCCCAAGCGCAGCCTTATGCAGTTGCCACACAGTTCTTCTCTGGTGCTTGATGCATCTTGATGCATCTTGATGCCAGAAGACACATGGTTTTTCCATGTTCCAGCAGTTCCAGCAGTTGCGAGTTGCGACCATTCCATTCTCAGAACAAACACCAATCCGATGCCCGAGGCCTTTACTGAGTCAACCTATGGCATGCTCATCAAGGGCTACAAAGGCGCCACCCGGATGGATGGAACAGGCGTCCGTTCGAGTCGCGATGCCCGGAGCCCCGTTCGTAGCGTCCGAACGCTCCTAGTAGTAAGGCCAGCCCCGTTCGTAGCTTCTTGTTACTAGTAGCGATGCCCTTTGAGGAAAGAAAGAGAAGGAGCGTTTTAAGTTGAAACAAGGCACCGGAGGAGATATTTTGGTATTTCCATTGGGTGACCCATTGAATGGGGAGCTGGCTGTTAGAGGTATCGAGAGTGATTTGTACAGGAGGTATTTACATGTATTTACTATTATAATTATAGGTGGTTGTTGGGTTTACCCTGTTTCTGTTAACTCCACGGGGGTGAAGGAAGTGATCAAGGGTCACTGAATTGGACACCCAAATTCGCCTGCGGAGGGATTTTCGGCAGTGTCTCTGGGTGGTGTGGGGAATGTTTTTCACTGTGACAAGTTCTTCCATCAACAGCATCAACATCTATCCAACATCGCAACATCAACATCTCTCTTCATTCCTGATTTCTTCACAACGCCAGGAAGCGACGAGAAAGTGGAGCAGCTCTTTTTGGAGGCCTTGGAGAAGAAGCCCGACGCAGGCCGGTTCGGTGAGTTGGGTTGAAGTTCAAGTTGGGACCTCAAAAAATTTGGAAGGGATCAGTGAAATGAATGTGAAATGAGGTCTGCATAGGTCTGCAAGTTTCTGAAAAAGAACCGACTTCCAAGACCGGAAATGGTTGACCTGGTTTTGTAATGTAACATCCGTAAAACACTGGTGGTTTGACAAAGCCTATCAAATCAATGGTGGTTGGAAGCCTAGGGTGAAGCGTTTTGCAATGAAAGGACCAATCCCAGGACTGTCAACGACGTGTCACTGGCAGACGTTCTTGTTGACGTTCTTGTTCCATGATGTTCCACCTTTAAACCCTAAAGCCTAAACCCTAAACCCAAAACATGGTGATTGGCAGAAAAATGGCTCCTTGTCCCGACTCGGCCGCTCAGGACCTGAACTTTGCTTGGCCTTGCTCCTGTGCTGCCAGCAGCTTTGGACTCAGATCCTTCCGACCTGACAGGTCAGAGCAGCCAGCGCATTCCATCTATTTCACCACGAAGGATGTGTAGCTCCTGCACATGTCCGGCAACGATGATACGTATAGTATGATGTCAATGATATACCGGTTTACATCAGTTTACCGTTTTTGACAGTTCTGTGATAGGATAGGACTTGCTCAGAAAAGCTAGGAAAGCACATAGGAATCGCCAAGGAACCTGTGCCAAACTGCTAACGTGTTGGCAGAAACCGGCCTAAACGGCCAAAAGCACTACCTGTTGAGGACCAGGAACTTCGCCTTGGCCGGAGTCCTCAGCCAACTGGATGTGGTATTGATTGGATTCTTTCATATTCTTTCCAATGATGAATATGGCTCAGGTTGGCTCATCATGATTCATCAATGAAATCCTTTCGACCGTGTGGCATTGATAAACGATTTGGATCAGCACGTGACAGATTTTCTCACTGTAAAGAGGTCGATTCGAGGCTCCATTTTATTCTGACGTCTGAAGTTAAAAAGATGTCATGCTAACTTCGATGCTTCATTGAATTGTCTTGTCTGTTTTAATTTTGAAATTTCTTCTCTTCGGGGAACAGCAGAGCACCAAAGGCCCCACGATCCTCACGATCCTACCGAACACCTTCTCGACGCGTTCTTTCGTCGAGAAGAATCGATCTCCCCATCCGCGACTCTTCGTTCCACTTTGCGGAACAGAGGGAGTTGCTTGTCGAGTTCTGTTTTTTCTCCATAGGATTCAAAATTGGAACTTGTTTGGAGAGAGCTTGTGTTTTAGATTGTTTTTGGTTTAGTAGAGGACTGTATGGAAAGGTGGGCTCACGCGGTTTTAGTTTGTTCGATCGCTTACAAACTGGAGCTCAGGCGGAGAGGGCCTATGAGCACTTCTCCAAGCAGATGTCGTGCGGCTCTCGGTGAAGACGATGTGGTCCAGTCGCGCATCCTGGCACATCCTGGCGAGACCAGGATGGTTTTGCATTCAGAAACCAAGATAGAGGATGCCTTGCTCTGGCTCATGTCAGAGAAACTGAGAAACATTGAGAAAACCTTTTTGCAACTGCTCCTGTCATTTTGAAACAGTTGCGGGGAACCCAATGGACCTGTTTCGGAACATCAAGAAGTTATGCTTGTCATATCTTGTCATAATATAGCAGTAGTACTTCATAGTCATATATAGCCTAGCAGTCACAGTGCATCAGCTGCAGTAGAAAGATCCACAGTCCATCCAATCCATCTGCCGCTGAAGGTCTTTCGGAAGATTAAGAAAGGAACCAAGGACATCCATGGACAACCCATTTCCTTGAACTCTGTCTTCTTTTAAAGCTACTTTTCAGTCATGGCTTCTTCACCTCCCAAGCGCTGCGCCATGCAGTGCCCACCTGGTACGTCGCAAGGGTTTTGGAGCTGTGTCTGTTTCTGTCCTCACGTCCTCTTTGTCGAAGGCATTTCGGCGGTCTGGACCGTTCCCATCCTCCCTTTTCGATTCGGTGCTGACCGTTCGGACCGTGGCGCGTTCCCCGCGCCGCGGTGCTGAGGTTGCCGATCCTGGCGGCCTTCATTCGCTTCCACTCGGAGGCCGAGCCGGCGAGTTCCAAGAAGACCATCCTTCGCCTTCGCCGGGAACGTCGCGGTGCCGCAACCAGCGGAGCGACGAATCGGGGTGGTTGGGCGAGCCACGAGTTCACAGTGGGAGATTTTGCTCGACATGAATGGCGTTGATCCAGGTAGGGGTGCAAAACACACACAGCACGCAAAACAGGACAGGATTGAATTCGACTCTGTCAGTGGGAGACTGATACGACATTTCAGCAGAACTGCTTCGTCAAGCCTGGAGGATACATCCTCACCAGGAAGAGTCCTTGAAGTTCCGATATGCATGCATCGAGCAACTATAGGATATCTTTTTTGTAAAAGCGCACATGTGGATACATATGGACTCCATGGACGAATGTCATGGATTGAGCATGAATTCTGATCTGAGTTTAGCTTATGTATGCTTATATATGTTTTATGGTTTGTGAATTGTTCAAATCTTGAATTTTCCAACAGGTGGTCGTTATGTTCTGTAAGAATGTTTCAAGAATCTCGTTGCTCCCACTAGCAACTGATCATCCTAGAACTTGATACAACCTATACAACCTACCTTCTTGCAACCAAAGTATGTATCAACCCTTTTAAGTCTAGGGATAATAGCCATTTGACATGCAATGTGGTGTACTATTCTAGAACCCTTGAATTTCATGCATGCGAGGTCGTCTCTTGTGAGACATGTTTGGCTTGCTGTAAAGGAATTGTTGTTCCGTTTTCTCTCCTCCCTTCTTCCCTCAACTCCCACAGTTTTGACACTGGCCAGGTGGAAAACTACGAGAGGGTCTGCGACATGTATGCCAGGGGCCGAGTTGCTTCAGTGAACCGCTATGAACTGCTTACAAGGAGAGTTTCTGAAGAAAAAGGCACCCTTCAGCACCACAGATGTCACTTCTTGGGATACAAATGGGACTCTTGGGAAGATAGGGGTGTGTTTTGCTTGGAGGCAGGCCTTCCGTGGCTGACCTACCCGGTCGGTCGGAGTTGTTCTTCAAACGAGTGGTGTTTTGCTTGGGGGAGTGTGTGGAGGAGTTTCTATTCTATTGACAACATATACCCTGGGAGTCAAAGACCATAAACAGAATGGTCTTAAGGTGACCCGAGTCAAGGAATTTCCTTTACTTCAGCCGGTCAAAATATAGTCGAACTGGACTTGACTTGGGTATGATTAGATGCACCCAGATCTCTGAGAATCTCCAGGAACTTTGGATCTCTTTTCAGCTGAGGAAAGGGATGCATCGCCATTGCGCGAGAAAGCCGCAGGGGAAGGCCATTGCAGCCATGGCCGAAGATGGACCAGACCAATCATTCGGTTTTTTCCATGGCTTCGTTTCAAGCGTGGAACTAAGCACTGGACACTGGATCAAAGGGCACCCGGACACTGGACACGATCGGAAAGCGATCGGATGAGCGAGCGGTGGTCATTATGGGTGATGAAGAAAGAGATAGGGAAGGGATGAGTTGACACGTTCATGAACCCCGAGTTTCTCCCCTTGAAGAGGACAAATTCCCTAAAATAGAGGTGGTTGAAGTTGAGCGTCTCCCTAATTGAACACACGCAAATTCATGCAACACAAAGAAATGATCAGCATAGAGTAGACCCACTAGAGTGCCGGTTTCCCTAAAAATCTAGGAACCAACTCATTAGTGCGAGCGTGAGCAATCCTGCGTCCAGTTACTAGAAGCTAACCTCGCCTAGTCACCTTACTTAAGTACCTTACTTGAGTAGGGAGGGGGAGGACCTGGCCTTACAGACTTCCCGGCTTTGATGTTTCGATGCTCAGAGGCGAGGATGGGTCCGCTGTCCATGTCCCGTGAGGCCGCAGCATTTTGGATTCTCGAATGGAGTGCGGCGCTCAGGGCTGAATCCCCTAGGGGGTTCTAGGGTGACGTAGGAGAGCTGGGCAAAGTGTATTGAACAATGGAGTCAATTTGCTGTACCGGATTTGGCATCCAACAGCACGCTGGAATTAGCATGTTTGCTGTTTGGAGCATGTTCAGATCCAAACTAGGGTCAACAGGGTGCATAACAGGCATAACACCACAGATGAGATTTTTTTTTTGCGTCGTGCTTTCACTTTCGGTTTGTGGCCGTTCGCCCAGCTCTCACCGCTCTTTCACACAGCTCTCACCGGTGGACAGGCAGCACACATCAACAACTTCGGGTCGACATGACCGAGGCGATGTGTGATGAATGCGGCCCTGAAGTGTGGCCGCAGCAAATTGGCACTCCTGACATTCTTTCCGATGTTACAGTGGGACGCCTGCTGTTTTTTCTCTTCCTCCTGGCCGATGACGATCAGTTGTTTCTTTTCCTTTTAAAGTCATTGTTTTGGTGCTCACAGCTCACATGTGCAAGTCCCAAATGGGTCGAACGAATTGAGCTACATCTGCGGGCGTTCGATGGTGAGGATGGTTCAGGTCCAGCGGTGAAATTGCTGCAACTTGTGGGACCAATTGCACGACCCTTTTCATCCGTGCAAAATGGTTCGGGGTAGTGTTTTTCTTGGAAGACATGGCTATGCTTGCTTAAGCAGTGGGTTGGGCATGCCACTGCTGGGTTCTTCTCTCAATTACAGATACATATCTCACTCATCATTTCCATGTCAAGGTATTATTCTTGAAGACAATGCTGTCACCCCCAAACTAAGGACCGTCACGGTACCCTACTTGATCAACCCAAGCCACTGCTGTCCTATCTCGAAGCCGCTTCGACGACACAAAGATACATTCAACTTACTCTGAAAGTGATGTGCCAGTGAACTGATGGATCGCAGTCTAAGAGTTTTAACTTGTCAAGCATCCAAGCATGTCATATAGCTTTCGCTGGACCTTTTGAGTCAAAACACTCTTTCGACCCGTGTCCGCCGCGTCCGCCGCGCCCGGGCCACATGGCGGGCCAATTCGATGTGATCCTCTTTGGTGCCACCGGCTTCACCGGTTCCTTGATGCTGCAGTACCTGCTGCAGAAGGGCAACGTGAAGTTCGCCATCTGCGGCCGCAGCCGCGCGAAGCTGGAGAAGGCCATTGAGACGGCGAGCTCGAAGCCAGAGATTTTGGTGCTGGATGTTTTGAGTGCATCACATGAGGAGGTCAAGGAGGTGGTGAAGAAGGCCAAGTGTGTGGCCTGCATGACATGAGTTTCATGAACGACGGCTGTCTTGGCTTGGAACTTCACGGAGTTTCCCCCTTTTTTCTCCGTGAAAAGGGGTGATGAATTCAACCAATTATGAGGCGAGCGGCTGTTGTCACAACTCAGATGTATATATCACCACTTAGATGAATACTGCATGATACACTTCATTCCACCTCCCACTATGGATAATACACTTCATTCCACATCCTACTATGATTCAGTATTTTCGTAGTTTTTCCGCGGCACCAGTGTTTGAGTTGCTTTTCAATGGTCCCAAGTCTTCGCCACCATGTTTGACAGTGACGCCAAGGATCCTTTACATTGCTCCTTCTTTTCCGAGATGCTCTACAGAAACATATTTTGCTAAACCGTGACTATATATATATATAACAGAACTTGAGTGGCATCCAACAACAGACCGATCACCAAAAACCCTCACAACCGTCCGTTCGACGCACTGCGTCTCGCGCGCGCGCGCGTGACGCGTGACGCGTGACTGGGGCCAAGGTTTGCACATCGATCGGTCCCTTTGTGGAGTGCGGCGAGCCACTCGTGAAGGCCTCTGCCGAGCTGGGAGTGGACTATGTCGACACCAGTGGGGAGAGCACCTTCATGCGTGGCTCAACTTGGAAGTGGGAGACTAACTGAGAAGCTTTGTTGTCAGGCTTAGGCTTTACAATAGACTTCTCCTTTTTGCGGTGTTTTTTCGGTTTGGTGTGTGGGGGTTCTTCTCCCTCCTTTCATCCTGATCTTTCAGGACCGCATGGTGATCGGAGGTTGAAGATCTCCACATCTGCCTTTGGAATCCTTTTTGATACTCCTTTTGATATCTCAGCCTGACAGCCAGTTCAGATCCTCAGCCTTCAGTGATTCCAGTGCCTTTTGATTTCCTCCGTTCCTCTGGAGATGGGGAGAGCAGAGGTCAGATGATCGAGAAGTACGACGCCGTGGCGCGGCAGAGTGGCGCTCGGATCGCGATCCATTGCGGGCAGGACGAAGAGGGACGCAGAGGGCCGAAGGCAGACGCAGAGGGATGAAGAGGGATGATTTGGGTTGAGCATTGTTGAGCATGTTTGCAACTGTTCGAGGCTGGGAAAGGGGAAAAACGGTATGTCCGCCCAAACATGTTTGTGTGGGTAGACCAAAGAGTAGCTATAGCTATCCCTTTACTCAGATTTCATGCTTGTGGCGAACACATAGGATGGTGGAAATGTCAGAGTCTCTACTCAACATTGTCAATCACCCCGGTGATTCGAAATGCCAAGCAAGACTCCTCCCCACTTAAAGTGCCCAGTCTGATTGGAACAAGGCTTGAAACAAGGCCCTGCGGCTGAAACAAAGCCCTTGGCGAAGCTTTCTTGATAGCAAGGCAGGGTGAATCTTCAGATCCCGGAAGCTGGCAAGGGAAATGGATATGTCTTGACACGTCTAGTCTTTGATGCTTCATTGTTTTGTTTGATGTTGAAGAAACAGCTACCCCCCCGAGGATGATGTTAGACTTTGGGGTCAGTTCGGTCGGAAAAACCTGAGTTCGGTCGGCCATATAGAAGAAGGCCCATTCACGTCTTTCTTGCTCCTCATCATCTAAAACCACCCCAGACTGACCCGACTCTCATCCCCCCTCTCATCATTTCAGCACTAGACCAGCAGCCCTCCCTACCTCCGGTGGGTTGCAGGACTGCGTGCCCTGGGATCTGATGGTCTGGAAGCTCTGGAAGATCTTAGGCTCCGACTTCACAGGAGCTCCGGACACCCCGGACACCCCCCCAGACACGCTGTCCGACCGACCCGGTTCGACCGACCCGGGCGCCACGGAAAAGGGGGGGTTCCCACCGGTCCGGTGGTCACCCACGCCTGGAGCTGTGGAGACCAGTCGGAGCCTTGGGAGTTGTGGTTTGGAGCATGTCACGTGGAGATGTGGAGGGAGTTGGACAGAGTATGGACAGCGTATGGACAGAGTATGGGAGTTTGGTCTCCGAAGTCCAAGCAATCATAGATTTTCTGATGTGGCATCGTTGTTGTCGACGCTTTCAAACCGGGCTAACACACAAGTTGAAACCTGGCCTGATCGTGTTTGCTGACGTGGTTGAAGAGAACCCAAAGGGTGACCGGTCACCTTTGTCTACCCTGCTCCTCTTCTCGTGTTCTCTCCTCAGGTTTCCTCCTTATCAGGTTTTCCCACCGTGCTCCTGGACAGATGTGCGACATGTTGGCATGATGCTATCAGAGCGCCCGAGCCCCAAGGGCCCGAGCCCCAAGGGCCCGGGCCCTTTGTGTCGCACCGCTGGCCCACCCACCCCGGGTGTGGGGCGAGCGAAACCGGGTGCTGGGCTCTGTGGCAAGTCTGAACGTTGTCTTCAGACGGGTCAAGGCGTTTGAGGCCAAACCACAATCGAGAGGATGGGCTAAGACGTGCTCACTGGACACTGGTGAGCAAACCTGTTGCTGCATGGGAGCAAGCATATGAGTCATGACGGTTTTTTTCCTGGGTAAACCTCTGACTGTCACCCACTGTTCCACCGCTCCAAAAACCGACTTCACTCCGGGGCCAATTCCCTCAAAACGGTGAGGGATGGGCGAGGAATCAAGATCTTGAGCGAGATCAAGGGCGTGCCCAGCGGAGGCGGGATCACTTGGGCCTGGGACTCTCGGAGCCCCCGAGATACACCCACACCTGGCGCGAGTCTTTTCTGAAGAATTCATCCGGGTGGGCGACTGGGTCACCGGTGTGGAGCATTCAAGGTTGGGGTTCTTGATCTCCCGTCGGCAGCCGACATGTGAGCAACTCCAACCGATCGAGATAGACATCTTCAAACATCTTCATGGTCGGGGGTTTAAAGAAATCCTTGGGGTCTTTGGGGCTGGAGGATCAGGCAACCAACGTAAGTGACTGGCAGGTAAGTTTCATGAGTGGCTAACTGTCAAGTGGAAACATGGCCAGACCAACTTCCGGTTGATGCGAACTGCAGCAGTTGCAACAAGCACTTGAACCATGTAACAAGAACTTCGTGTGCACAGTGTGCTTGTTTTTTCTTCATTGCCCTAGATCGCTTTATCTAGGTCCGACTGCCCCTGCTTCGTTGCAGCGACGGGTCCCGCGGCGAGTTCCGCGAGTTCCGCGCGGCCACCGCCAGGAACCATGAACACCGCCATGCTGCCGCTCGTCCGTTCCCGGGAGAAGCGGTGGGACCGGGTCCATAGCGCCGTAGAAGTGGAGAAAGCAACATCAAATTGGAACACAGTGTGTATTTTTGTCTTAACTTTTTAAAACGTTGTTTTATCATGATGATTTTTAGACAGATTGAGGAATTTGATCAAATTCTAAAATGATCATCTCTATACCGGCCGCCCTTTTCAGATCTGCTCGGATGCAAATCTCTTCAGATTCAAGCCGTTTTCTAAAATACCCCGTCCCAGAAAGGCTGGGGTTTGTTCCTGGAATTGAAGAAATACAGTGGTTTCAGGGTAGATGGCACAATCCCCAACGGTTGGCATCTTGCTGTGGTGCCATTTCTCACCTCACCTCTGAAAGCGGTCGACTGCCAGTGTGGTGACTGAGTCGGTGACTGAGTCGGTTCCAGGGGGAGTGGGACCCCGCCCTTTTTCCTGGTGGCTTTCATGGGTGTCCGAACGACACAGTCTTTCACTCACGCTTTTCATGTCACTGGTCACGGGTGAAAATACCCAACACCAATGGCGCTGGGCACGCGGACCGACCGTGCTTGACGACGGGTTGACATGAACCGTGCTTGACGCCCCCCTGACGTGGTCAACCTACCCAGGGTGACCTGTGGGGCAATAGCGGGTGCCATGACTCACAGCGGTCACGGAGAGGCCGACTGATCGACTGGTCGATAGCAGAGGGGCGCCTGAGGGGCCACGAGTTGATGGCCAGAAAGGCATCAGAGAATCATTCTGAGCAGTCCAGGAGAACAAGCATGAACACACCAAACAAGGCTCGTTCATGTTTGTTTGCAGAGTTGGCTGTTTTCTTTTGGAGACATGTTCTTAGACCTGCAAGATGTTCAAAATCCTCACGCGGCCGGGCTGGATCGCCCAGGAACATGCGGCAGAAACCCAGCAAAGGCTCTTTGGGTTTCGACCCGCTCTACCTGGCTGATGGGAAGATTCTCTGTGGCAGGTCGTGTTCTGCGGGGCAGAAGAACGATGGGTCACACGACCGAAAACAATCATGCACCCTGAGAATGGCACCCTGAAAGACTGTTTTCCTCTGCAAACCACTGGTAAGCGATTGAAATTTCTAGGGTAACATTCAAACTGGTAACCTGGTAACAGGAAGGGTAAGAGATAGGGTAAAAGATGATCACTAGTTCAGGGAAAGGCCTTCAACCTAATCATCATCATCATCATCATCATCGTCATCGTCATCGTCATCGTCATCGTCATCATCATCATCATCATCATCATCATCGTCATCGTCATCGTCATCGTCATCATCATCATCATCATCATCATCGTCATCATCATCACCATCATCACCATCATCATCATCATCATAATCATCCACTGTTACTGTTAATGGGATGATATATTATATATATACACACCCGAAACAGTACCCCAAAGATATTGATATTTGGTACATGGCAAGGTTGGGAAGAAGATGATGCTGCTGGTGGCGTGGCAAACGCTGCTTTCTTTTGGGACCCGGAAGACATGTTTGGCATCCAGCAAGTCCATCCAGCAAGACAGGTTCCGTTCATCAGTGCCGCGTAGCCTTGCCACGGAAGCGCGGCAAAATGATGAAATTCTTTCAAGCACCGCCTTGGACTCTTCTATAGAAATATGTTTTGCGAGTTTCATGGCTTCATGTTACCTTTTTCTCCTGTTCCATCCTGTTCCTCAAAACCCTCCAGTTGCTTTGGCCGCAGAAACGCCAAGGAAATCGGAGTGCTTGACCCAAGTGGATCTTCCCAGAGGCGATTTCGCGCTGCTTCTAAGTCGCAGGACGATTTTGCAGCGTTTTATGACGAAGAGATTCTTCACAGTCTTACACTCCCGAAAACTAACATGGCAGTGGAGGGCAAGGCCCCGATTTCGGAAGACCATGAATTCCACTACAAACAGGTGGTGCCATCCACTTCCATGTTAGTTTTCGGGAGTGTAACTGAAATGTGATGGCCTTCCAACATGTTTACACTTGATCTGTGGTCGGGCACACTGTGGTTCGCCTTTTGTGGGGGTAAGTGAAGCTTCCCTGTCCGATGTTTCAGCTGCTGCAGATCTGCAGCCTCCAGTGTGGCATCGACTTTTGCCAAGGATCTCATTGCAAATAGAGTAGAGTGCCCGAACTGGACGACATCGTCTTCTTGAGTCTGGGTCAAAAGGAGTACCACCAACTTGCTGTAGTCACGGATGCAGCAGGCGTGCCAACGAGTGCGCGCAGTTGGCGAATGCATGTGGTTGCCGCATAACGCATAAGGTGCCGACTTGACTTAGCAGACCTAAACCCCATTGGTTGAGGTCCCCCTATTGAAATACAAACCCACATGATCTCTTTGGTTTGACCCTCCCCACCGCGACGCCGCGACGCCGCACCTCCGGAGCACCCTGGTGAGCCCAGTCCGCATCGAGAGGCAGCCAATTTTATGCGGAGGCCCAGCAGAAGGGCGGTCCTTGGATCATGGGCCCGGTCATGGCCAATGGCATCCGTCGGAGCCGCTCGGGTGCGGTGGAACGCGAGTTCGGAGTTCCGGTGGCTCGGGCGGCGCGGGGGTCGGGGCGCCATGTTGGGGGGCGAGAGGGTGAGGAGGATCGATGGGAGTAATGGAAAGGGGGGAGACTGTCAATGGCGGGGTAAGGAAACGAAAGGAACTCGAGAAGGGAGCATATGTTTAGTCCGGCCGGGTGAAAAAGGTAGGAACAAGCAAGTGGGCATCATGGGAAACACTCGCACAGAGCGTGCGGGCGGGGGGTGTCCATGAAGTTTGAACATGAGTCGTTTGAGTTAAACCAGGATGGCCTACCAGTGATGGGAAAGTATGAGGTTCCCGTGGAATCCAGGAGAAGTTTGGAATGTCTTTAGGAGAAGAGAAGTCCAAAGAGAATCCTGAGATTCATAGGTGTTGAGTGCTCTCATCAAACCACTCTCGTTCTACCACAACTCTGCCTGAAGAAGCCACTTGTAGTGCCAAGATTCGTCCGGCCCAAGGCAATGCAGTTTTGAAGATGGTGCCGAACCTGAAGTACCACGAGGCAGTCTTGGAGAGCAGCGACTTTGGCTTGTGTGCTGCCAGCAAGTGGGCCAGTTCCATTGATTGAGATCAATGGGGTCATTGTTCATTCTGCGTCGCCTCATCCTAGAAGTGTACAGTATGAGATGTACGTAAAGACATGCATGTCTTTTTGCATGTAACAAGTTGGTAAAACAAAAAAAGGCACAGTACTTGTCCCTGTTGTGATGTGCTGTTCCTTTTTTCACACAAACTCATTGGCACCAACTCCGGCCCGAGCTGCGCAGCGAAGGGCAGGCCGACGCAGCTTGCTCAGCTCCTCAGGTCGACGGTGGCTACCATGGCCTTGGGCATCTCGGTGTACCTGCCCTTCACCCAAACGTGGTGGTACAAGATGGGTCTTTTGCCGGAACCGGGCGCTGGACCCAGTGCGGAAGAGATGGAGAAGGGCTTCCTGACACTCACCGGACGCTTGGGTGGAGAGCAATGCTGGGGTGTTTTCTTTCTTTGTTCAAGTCTGTTGATGGACATCTGGAAGAACTCTGGAAAGTCATCCAGGAGTTCTGGAGTCTGTATTTGTCCAAGTTGTGCAAGATGTCTGCTAGCGAGCAAGGCAGCCTGAACAGGAGAGTGTTCTTGGGTCCAGAGAGTTTGGCAGGTTGGACTTTTTAATCCCTATAGTAGGTGGACTTGTGACAAAAGAAACCAGAGACCTGCAAGCTAGAACGACTTGTTCCTTGTTGACAAATGTCTTTGCTCCAGTTGGCAGTTCGGATGAATGGCCTTTTCCCAGCTGCTCTCGTGCTCAGGATATGCTGAAACCAAAGAGAAGAATCCCAAGTGCAAGGCCATTGCTGCGAGATATTTGTTCATCTTCATGCTGCGGTTCCGCAACGCTGCCGTGACGTGAAACGTTCCGCCAACGTGTGACGGGACAGCCTGCGCCCATCTTCGTCGAGCACATGTAACATGGAAGTGGACAACCCATGAAAACTCCCAGTCGTAAAGGAACGTTGTCTTTCCAAGGGACCATGCCATCCACGTAACCATGTGTTCGTCAGAGTGTAGTCCTCTTCCCCCTCTTCGCCACTTATGCTGTGAAGCTCCTTTGAGCCATGACTTGAGCCAAGGCTAATTCACCTGGTAGAACATCCCTTTTAATGACTGGATGGGTTGTAATCGCCAGCAAACCATCCATCCATTGGGCGGTTTTTGTCGTAGATTCTCCATAGATCACTTGGCATGAGATGGGTAGTATGCAGATGTATGCAGTATGCATATACCTAGAACCTGAATGACCTCTGTTTTGGACCACCAACCACCCAACATATTGTCTTTTCCTATCAAAACAGGGGTCAGTTGGATTCCAGGTACCTATACTCTTTCCTAAAGCCTCGTCAGTCCTAAAGCCTCGCTTTGAGCTCGTTCCGCAGGGGGAGACCAGTCGCCGGTAGAACCCACCCACCCGAATTCGGGGCGGAATGGAACCTGGAAGAGAGCTGGAAGAGAACTGGAAGAGAACTGGATCCACAGGCAGACTGAAAAAGATTGACAGACGTTTCCGACTGGTCTTCTCTATCTCCTTACTTAGCCAGTTATTCCTACTTCACCAATCAATTCTGCCCCTTCTCGCTCTTCGCGAAACAGCCTTGTGACCAAGCGCCGAAGCGTTTACTGTACAGGCCGTGATGAAGTTCTACACCGATCCGGGCTACAAGGAGCAGCGGTTGGGCGGTTGGAGAGCTAGTCAGCTAATTAGGGCTCCCCCACGTGGCATCACAAGGGATCATGTGAAGCTACCGAAGTGTCAATTGAACCGTTGTGGTTTTGAGACTCCAGCTTGGTGCTCTGTACCCAGCATGTTTCAATATGTTTCACATGTTTCTACGTCGGGATGTTACGAAAGGAACACTGGATGCAGCATGATGCGGCATGCTTTAAGAAGCGACCCCAGAACGCGGCTTGTTTCCATCGGTTGAAAGGTCATCAAGCTGGTTCGACGTCCCGGGTCGTTGATCGCTTCGGACGGCCAACGGGGGCCGGGTCGTTGGGTCGCCGGTGTGGGTGCCGGTGGCGGTCAGCGCGTTTCCAGGACACGGCGCGGATGTGCGTTGAAGCGGCCTTGGCTTTGGTGGATTTGCCGAAGGCACAAAAGGTTGGCGGAGTGTCACTTGACTCAAAGAACGACATGTTATACATGATCAGCATGTGTATATATATATACTGTATATATAATTGACCTTTAACTCAGAATGCCCTGTTCGCCGCTCAAGCTTCATGCAGCCGTGGGTCGGGGAACTCCTCCGACTCCTGAGTTTTGGGAGCGCTTCTAGCTGGTTCGGCTTGGCTTGCCCAGCACACTGTTCTGCCTCAAGCCTTTACCTGGCTTGCTTCCTCGTGACAGGTTTCTGCCTCGGCTTCTTGGCCGCGGCTCTCCTTGTCCTCTGGCTCCATCTGCACTCAGGGCCTCCGGGATCTCCACCTGCTGCTCTTGGGCAGCGCTTCGACCGGGTTCCGACCCCTTCATTGCGCCTCTCGGCGTATTTGCATGAGCGCTCAGGCCGCTCTCCACATCTTGATTGAGGCTGTACGAGCATCCGCTCGCGCTCTACGGGGCCTAGCTGACAATCTTGAGAGGGCTGCTGCCGCAGCAGAGAGGGGGCCATCCGCTGGATCTGACAGGGTCACCGAGGTCTCCACCGACACTATCGATTGGGACCTGGTCACTGAGGCATTGGAGGCTGAAAGAGATCAGCGCACCGGTGCCCCGTGCACCAACTTCTCGAGCTACCACGACGTCGAGAAGAGCATCCCTCCCTTGCCTGATCACTGTGTGGATCTTTGTGGCCGTCTGGGTGGCACCATTGAGGACGTCAAGTCCCGAGCTACTCGAGCTTGGATTGCCGGTTGTTGGGCAAAGGCCACCTTGGAGGGCAAGATCCCAAAGCCTCGACCTACTCCAAAGATTGCACTGCAGGCCACCACCTACATCATCCTCAAGGGTCCAGGCGTTCAGCGACCGACCAGAGTCTCTTCAGCGGCAGAGTATTTCAAGCTCCTGCCACGCTTCGAGAACTCCGTCAGCCATTCGTTCCCAAGCCAAGCTGAGGCCAGGGTCTACTGCCTTGCCGCTGGAATTAGTTTTCCTGAGGCCGAGCAGTAGAGATGGCGACAGGTGGCCCGATTCAGTTTTTGGACCAAGGAGTTCTCCAGACCTATGTGATGGGCTTGGACCTCACTGCATGGGATGGGGAGTGGTCGGAGAGTTTTGCAATCGCAGTTTTGAGCCGGCAGTCGGGGGTTCTGATTGCAGTACCAGAGGGAGCTTTTTCTCCGGAGGTTCTCCAGGCTGGAGCTTTTGCAGCGATGGACGACCTTGTAGGCCCGTCGACGAGGGTGACACTGCCTGCTGTCTTCGAGGAGTTGGACGGGACAGAAACACCCCACACAGAAGATATTCCAGTTGTTTTGGTAGACTTCCACAAGAACATCTTGGAGAGCATTCGAGGCTTCGACCCAGTCACAGAAGGACCCGGCATCCGTTGTTTCTCGCCACCACACATGGAAATTTTGCCAGAGTCCAATCCCCTACTTCTTGCGGCTTACGCCTATGTGGAAGGGGGTACAGAGGGAAGGACTCAATTCTATTCGGCAGAAGAGACACAGATTCCCCCCCTGCCTGTGACCCCGGCACCAAAGGCCTCCTCGAGGCAGCCCAAGGCGAAGGCCTCCCCTGGTGGGGTTTCCACTCCCAGAAGGGTTACTACGGCAACGTTAGCCGAGCAGTTAGCAGAGATCTCCAAGGTGCTCCCTGCTATGTCCTCCCAGCTGGAGGCTATGACCCAGCGCCAAGACAGGGTGGAACGCCTGATGAGCTCTGCCCCTCAAGCCTCATCCAAGGAGCCCCCGGCCCACAAGCAGGACTTCCCTCTGGTGGGGAAAGGATCGCCCAGACCATCCGCTCTGAGATTTGTCTCCAGAGTGGGCAGCCCGCCAAGGTCCAGACCACTGGCCGATGCAAACCCAGAGCCCCGGAAGACCGTGGAATTCACGAACGTGGACGAACCTCTCGCCCTGCCCTCAGATCCAGACTACCCCGGAGGAGAACAGGGCATTCCAGCTCTTCCACAACCAGAGGCACTCTCTGCGGCTCTGTTCCAGCAGTCTCAGGCCTTGACGACTCTTGTGGCTCACTTGGCGGGTCAGGATGGCATGGAATTTGGCACGACAGCAACAAGCTCAGCCCTCAGTTTGAAGGGTTCGCTGAAGCGGGACAAGCTGCTCAGGGACCTGGCAGAGAGGCGAGGGAACTTTTTCCTCAAGGTGTCACAAAATGCCTTCCGGCGCCTCAGGCCCTCAGAGCCTGTCCCTCAGGAGATCGCTGCCCTTGGAGGACGTGCCCTTTTCTCGAAGTACATGGAAAGAAGCGGTGGCTACTCTGGTCAGAGAGATCTGGGCCTCACTATGTGGCTGCTCAGCCAGATGGCGGATGCATTCCTGAACGGAGATGCGACCGGAGCCCAAGAACTGCTAGCACTGACTATGGTGACTTTGGAGCAGGTGGCTCAGGACTCTGGAAAGTGGGAAGTAGGGTGGATCTTGTCACTGCAGGAGGATCCTCCTCCGGGTGTCTTCCAAGCAAGGCCCATCACGACGAATCCCAGGCTCCGAGCTTTTGCCCCTCTTTGTCCGCCGGAGTGGGCCACCACGGCATTGTCCTATGTCAAGGAGGTCGACCTGATAAACTCCAGGAGACAAGAAGCCCTGCCAGGAAAGAAGAACCAGCCTGGGAAGGAACAGGACGACCAGGCGGGCCCCAAGAAAAAGCCCGCTCGCTACCCCAAGAAGCCCAAGCAGGGAGGAGACACATCCAGCCAGTGAAGGTTGATGACGAACAAGTTATCCTTTCCGGCGATGATGGACTCTGCCTTCAGGGCAAAGGCACGCATGACAGCCAACCGAAGGAGGCTCAAAGCCCTTGTTCCGGGTCCCGAAAGGTGACCTGCCGGGAAAAGCTTCCTACCAGCTCCTCTCCGGACCCAGCTCCCTCAGGTCCGTCTGGAGAGCCCCTTTGCTGCGCTCCTCTACTTCAGAACGGCCAGGCCCCGCCTGAACCGTTGCCTGCGGTCGGGGGGGCTCTCCGGACATAGTACCTGCTACAGTCAAGGGAGCGGGAAAGCTGAGAGTACTGAGCTTCTGACACCCTCGAGAGAGGAGAAGAAGACAGGGCTAGTCCCCGATGAGGAACCACTTGAGGCTCTCTGGGACAGGCTCCAGACCTACTCATTTGATAGTTGGGCTTCATCCCTCTGCTCGACAGTTTTGAGGTCCAGAACCTCCTTTGCGACGTTCTTGCGGACTACCTTCTGCATCACAAGACTGCATCCTTGCAGCTCTTCAAAAGCCTTGTTCCCGTTGCCGGCCCCGAAGCTTGGAGTCTTCCGAGGAGGTAAGCATGGTTCCCGACAGAGGAAGAAGGTTGCTTTTGATCAGGCTCTCCACATCTGTGTGATGGCCCTGAACTACTGGCACGCTGATTTCAAGTTTGTCCCAGCCTCTTCTTTAGCAGTGGAGCCAAGCAGGCCTCAGCAATCGGCTATCGACCACATCCGGAGGATGCTCAAGGCTTTCGGTAGCTCTGGAGAGACATTTGAAGTTCCTTCAAGCGGCCGTAGAATTACATCACTGATCTCCCTTCTGGCTGACCTCTCAGATCTTGCTACCTGGGAGGGCGTTGGTGGAGATTCCTATTCCCGGACTTTCCCTGGAGCGAATGGTGGTTTGAAAGAAGGCCTTGAGGTTGCTCGCGACCTGGACAGGGCTGATGAACTCCGTCCTTACAGAGACCTTCAGCCTGACCGCCTCAAGCTCTACGGCCATGCTCAGTGGGATCCGTCCCCCTATCTTTCAGATCAACTATGGATGGCATATGTCGAACCTTTCAGCATTCGCTGGGCCGAGGACCAGAGGACTGGCAATGCTCCAAATCTTACCAAAGAAGATCCTACCGCCATCGTCCAATTGGCCAGGATCTGGGACATCAACGGCCTCCTGCTGGTCAGGCCAGCTGATCAAGATGTCGATGTGTCCACCAGTATGAGGTTCTTCAATGCCTTCAAGAATGAGACAACGGACAGGATGATTGGCGACAGACGGTCCAGAAACTACGTGGAAGCCCGACTTCCTGGTGTTTCTGCTTGCTTGCCTTCAGCCCAGTGCCTCCTTGACCTTGAGGTTCGGCTCCCGTCCCAACGGCTGTCGCTGAATGTCACGGATCGAAAGGACTTCTACCACCAGCTCATGGTGACAACAAGCAGAGCGGAGACAAATGGCCTCTACCCTTTCATCTCCCTTGAGGACGTCAAGGGAACGAAGGCCTTCGAGAGGTGGTGCCTCTCAAATAAAGGCCAAAGAGCTTATGACAGACTCAAGGAGGGAGACTATCTGGGGGAGCGGCCCAGGAAGAAGAAAACTGCCCACAGGATGCCCTCCGCTTTCCAGGCTTGCTTTGCTAGCATACCTCAAGGAGACCACCTTGGAGTAGAGATTGCCACAGAAAGCCATCGAAACTACCTAATCTCCAGAGGCCTCCTCCAGGAAGAAGAAGAGGTTAGATCCGGCCACCCTTACCTTGGCCAAAAAGTCGCTTCTGGCCTCGTCATCGATGACTTCTTTTCCATCTCCGTCGAGGATGTCGCAGATGGAAGATGGCCTGATGAAAAGTCTGAGTGGATAGACACTGCTCAGGCACCTCAGGGAGTCAAACAAGTCCTCCTGGCAAGAAAGGCCTATGCTGACGCGGGCCTTGAAGGATCGCCTCTCAAGGACCTAGTCGATGAAGAGAAAGGCAAGATCATTGGGGCCGAGGTTGACTCGTCATCACTGACCAGGTCTCTGGGGCTAGTTCTGGTCGCGGCTCCAGTCCGAAAACGCCTCGCTTTGTCCTACATCTCCTTGGAGCTGGCAGCAAAGGACACGACTTCCGATGCACTGCGTGCTTGCCTGATTGGTGGATGGGTGTCCGCTGCGATGTACCGAAGGCCCTTCATGTCGATCCTTCAAAAGGCCTACAAGATCCAGATGTCTGAGGTTGACCAGGAGAGGCCAAAGACAGTAAAACTGCCAAGATCTGTTGCAGAGGAGCTCACACTGTTGGCGGTGCTCTGCCCACTGATGGCTTCCGATGTTTCTGCTCCCCTACAGCCCCGATGCTATGCTACAGACTCTTCTGACGGAAAGGGGGCAGTCGTCTCGGCACCCGTAAGTGAGGCAATGTCTCGAGCTCTTTGCCGGTCTGGTAGAAGGAAGGCAAGTTATGCACGAATGCTGTCTAGGTCCGAGGCCATCCTCAAGAACATTGATGAGATGTACGAAGAGGGTCTTGAAGAGACTCAGGGAGGCCAAGATGACATTGACCCCGAGAGACCAGTCGCTTTCAGGTTCCACTTCCTGGACATCTGCGGGGGTGCTGGTAAGGTTGCAGCTGCAGTTGCGAATTATGGCTGGGTGGTTGGCCCAGTCATTGACCTGGATAGGTCCCCGCATTTTGATTGTGGGGCCCTCCGAGTTATCGCCTGGCTTTTCCACCTGATTGAGTCGGGCAAGTTGGACTCCTTTATGATAGCGCCTCCCTGCACCACCTTCAGCCCAGCACAGCATCCTGCCTCGAGAGGCTATGACAGACCCAGAGGATATGATCCACTTGACCCAAAGACTCTGCAAGGTACAACCATGGCATTGCGAGCCTTATCGTTGATGATGATGGCGGTCAGGTTCAACGTACCTGGGCTGCTTGAGCAGCCAAGAAGAAGCAAGATGAGAAAGCTCCCGGAGTGGGAATTCCTATGTTCGTCATGGGGCGCCTCAGAGTCAATTACCGCCTCGTGCATGTTCGGATCCATCCACAAGAAGGAGTTCGTCTTCCTTACTTCAAGCCTCGATACCTCTCTCCTGACTCGCTCCTGCGATGGCCAGCACAAGCATATACAGATTGCAGGCAAGTGGTCAAAGCCCTCAGCTGTTTACACCGATGAGCTTGCCGCAGCCCTGGGACAGTCTTTCGACAAGGCCCTCACAAAGAAGATTCGAGGGACCCAGTCCGTCGAGCCCAAGCTGACAGGTCTTGAGAGCCCCCTCTGCAATGATGTCCTACTGTCGGCCAAATGGAAGGTCGACAAAGTGTGGTCTTGGAGAAGTCCAAAGCACATAAACATTCAAGAGGTCCTTGCGGCTGAGAGACTGATGAAGGAACAGGCCATCTCTTGGCCAAAGTCACGCTTCCCCGTTGTCATGGATTCAAACGTGGGCATGTCTGCCCTGGTCAAGGGCAGATCACCATCAGATGGCCTCCGACCCGCCTTGAGGAGGGCAGGGTCCACCATCGTTGCAGGAGCCTTGTCTCCGGCCTACCATTTTGGGCCCACCAGACTTCTACCAGCCGACCACCCTACCAGAGACAATGATTTCCCTCCTCCATGCAGAAGCTGCCTGCCTCCTGAGGCGACGTGCACCGAGCTCTTACAGTTCTCAAAGGTTTCAAACCTGGCTCGAAAAGGGGCAAACTGGGTTCGACTGGTCCTTCTCCTTTTGCAAGACCTGCCCCTGTGGAGCCAAAGTAAGGATTCCTGGAGGTTTGCTCATGTCAATTACAAGCACTACCCCTTCAACACCCAGAAGGTGGATTTCAGCCAGAAGGAGTTTGACAGCACTTGTGGCTATCCCGGAGAAGGTCCTACTGCTGGAGGCTCTCGAGTGCAGTTGATGCGTTGCCCTGCTTCCGCCCTTCCCTTTGGAATTCCAGCCCTGGTTAGACTTTTTGGGGCTTTTGTTGCCCTGGTTGGATTTCTTGGGGCCTACATCAGCCTTGCCGCTTTTGTCTTAACCCCTGCCTTGCCGAGGAAAGCTGCGCCTGTCCATGTCCGTAGCCGTTTTCGGCCGCGTTCCTCCTCTCTGACCTTGTTCAGGCAAGCCAAGCTTCAGGCCCTCCTTTTGGCCATCTTGTTCCTGGAACACCCAGGCCTGGTAGCCGGCGCGCCCCGCCATGGACTGAAGCTGCAGCCCAGAGATGCTGCCGACCGCGCGCGACAAGAGACAAGAGGTCAGCTAGAGCTGCCCGATGGCAGACCGGTGCTGGGACAGACCCAGCGGCAGAGAGACAAATTGATTGGGGCCTTCGAAGAATGGCTTTGCTCGCAGGGCATCCTGCTGGATGAGATCCTCATGGTGGGGGCCCCTGACGTCGAGGCCCTCAACCTTCTGCTGGAGAGGTACGGCCGTGAGCTGTATCGAGCGGGACGACCGTACGGTCACTACAGTGAGACCGTCAATGCAGTGTCGGCAAAACGGCCAAGGGTTCGGAGATTGCTCCAGCCGGCTTGGGACCTGGCCTATAGCTGGCTACGCCAAGAACCACCAGTACACCACCTTGCGCTCCCATGGCAGGCGATGCTCTCATTTCTCACTACATTGCTCTGCTGGGGTTGGTGCAGGGTCGCTGGCATCATCGCCCTATCGTGGGGCGGGATCACACGGATCGGAGAATCCGTAAATGCCTTCAGACGAGATCTGGTCCTCCCGTCTGATGTCAACTACACGATCGACTACGTGCTCCTTCAAATAGCTGAACCAAAGACCCGGTTCAGATGTGCTCGCCACCAGATGGCAAAGGTGGATCAGCCTCAGTTGGTCAGGATCATTGTCACGGCCTTTGAGAACCTGCGACCTGACCAACGACTTTGGCCGGCATCGGGATCAACGATCCGGAGCCGTTTCCAACGCCTGGCCCAGGCGAACTCCCTCGACCACCTCCGGACGAAGAAGGGCCTGGACCTTGGCTCGTTGAGAGCAGGAGGAGCGTCATGGCTCCTGATGACCTCCGACAACCCAGACATGACAAGGCGCCGCGGGCGCTGGATCAATGCAAAGGTGATGGAAGTGTACGTGCAGGAAGCCTGGGCAGTTCAGTTTCTGCCACAGCTTCCAAAGTCCATCAAAGAGGGCATCATGGAAGGAGCTGGTTTGTTTCCGTGGGCTTTGGAGCTTGCGGAGATTTGGAAGAGGGCGGCTGTCCCGGAGTCAGCATGGCCCATCCTTTATCAGAAGGCGGCTCGAGACCTTGAGCAGCAAGAAATGGGAAGGCAACACCTCGAGAAGGAAGAGGCGGGAGATGGAGGGGCCGCTTTTGCCCATTGTGGGCGTGTGCACCCTTCGCTAGATGCAGAAGAAAAGAAGTGCGACCAGCTTGATGAGTTGACCTTTAACTCAGAATGCCCTGTTCGCCGCTCAAGCTTCTCCCGCAAAGCCGCCCACCCGAGCCGCTTCTGATGCGGCCCCGGGGCCGCTTTTGCCCATTGTGGGCGTGTGCACCCTTCGCTAGATGCAGAAGAAAAGAAGTGCGACCAGCTTGATGAGTTATATACCAACTTCTCTGAGGAAGCTTGATGTTCATCAAACACACTTAGGAGCCCCATGCTTTTTGGCCAAAGGTAGTGTGTCTTTTTTTTTGGGGGGTGCAGCATGAAAGAACATAGCATAATATCCGAAACATTCATTTAAGCAAGACTGATCATGTCATTCGTATGACAGTTTGAACTGAACATCCTGTCCAAAAATGATACATGAATGGATGGGGGGGAACCCAGAAGGGGCCACGCGGCTGCCTGGAATGATTTCTTGGAGAGGATTTGGACATGTTGACCGACAACCATCACTCGACCTCCTCTTGGATTCTATTTCAACCATGTTTCAACCCCATACCGGGCCTGTTTCCCGAGCGGCTCAGGTATTCACCAGCGGCGGCTTGCGCCGAGGGCTTGTTCGAACGGCTGTTGGCCACTGGAACCACCTGGGAAGTGACAGATCTTTGATTTCTGATTTCTACATCGGACCTCGGAAAGGAATTCCTTTTTCGACGATTCGATCAAGGTGGATGTTCTGGTTTGTTTCTTGCGTAAGCCGTTCCTTTTCTTCGTCGTCTGGTCCAAACCGATTGAGAAGACGATACGTCGCCCATCCAAATTCCTTTTGAGATCGCCTACTTTTGCCTGGTGGTTCCACGGATCTCCCTTCGCTCGTGGACTTTCCTTGCGCTGGATCCACTTGCGAAGAAAAGCGGCGAAGGGCGAAGAGTGTTGTGCGGCAGGGCCAGGCAGGGTGCAAGATAAGAGACAAAGGACTGTACGGGGTCGTTTGGGCATAAGGCAAAATCATAGCAAACTCCTGTATAATATGTATAGCTTATTTCAAACTGTGGCCTCTTTGTGTGTGGCCCTCAAGTTGCATGTCAGTATGGGGCAGGTGCATGTAACAAACTTGGGCTTCCCCAAGTGTGAGGATATATTTGAGGAAGCAAAGCTATGTAACAAATTTGTGCCCTTTCTTTGGACAAGTCCTTTCTAGGGCAAATCCTCATGTAACAAATTTCCCTCCACCCTGCCAGAATGGCAGATCCTGATGTAACAAAATTCAGTCCACTCTGCCAGAATGGCAAATCTTAACGTAACAAATTCCCCTCCACTCTGCCAGAACGCCAACACCCTAATCTGTAGAGCTTCCACCTATCACCTGCAATAAACAATTTGCACCCCTTCACTCCGGACAGTGGACCAAAGGATCGCACGTTCTTTTCGACCACGCGCTACAAAATCTTGAGAGTCAAGGCCCAAGGCTTTGTTCAACCAGACTTGACTTTCATGGCTTTGTTCAGACAAAATGTGCAAAGCTGGAGTTTCTGTGTGCCACGTCCCGCTATCATAGAGCACTTCTCACTCAAATGATAGCATTTCCCCGTCCGGGTGGACACGATGAAATCTGGCAAAGTAGGGTTCTTCTGCCCTTTTACTTCATAGTCCTGACTGCCCTCGCAAGTCTCAAAAACCATTTCTTCTGAAGCTGCAGGTTCTTCAGTCTCAGTCTTAGTCCGATCGCCGGCTTTCTCATGGTTCAGCTTTCTCGGTGTTCCATCATGAGAATGGGTCTCTCCACGAAATTTCACCAGGCACGCCCCCACCACAACTCCGATGAGGACTCCACCGGAGAAGCAAACCACGAACATGGCACATAGTAGCGACATTATTTGCAGCAATCCAACAGGAAACCATAAGTTACATACATCATCATACAAACACATCAAATCAAATGTTCATGATTCATTGATTCATGCTGACTCACGACTATGGGTCCCCTCCTTGAAAAAAGTAAAGCAGGTGTGCATGCATGGTGACTCCGCAGCAGCTGTCATCACCAATAGCACCATCGCATCAAGAACGCTGTATATACAGGTCAAGAAGGTGTGCCGGAGTGGAAGCGGTAGTAGAAACAAGAAACTGGAATGGGGAATGCAATTGTCAGCGCGCCTTGCAAACAGAACTACAAACACACTCAAATGACTCAAAATGCTCGATTCTCAAATCCCAGATCCAAGTACCATCCATTTTTTGCGTGGCCAAGCGGTGCCAGCATGTCAGACAGGGATGTTAAACCAAAACTCCAAAGGTCCAACACTTCTTCGGCTTGCTACCGTTGCCAACCAACCTGATTTGCTGACAAACTCACAGCCTGTTCAATTTGTAGGCCTCCAATCTCCACATGGGATTCCTGTGATCTTTGCCTGCAGTAAGTAAGCCCTATCGGTACAGTGGGAGGAACAGTGAATCGTAGAGCTGCGAAGACATGTTGCTCAGTCATGAGTCATATGTCTTTAATTTATTGATTCATTTGAATTCCTATAGTAATAATCAAGTAACAGTTGACAGAGTCACTCATGATTCAGGAGTGTGGCCCACAAGTCCCAAGAGTTTGAATCCCTCCTCTATCAGTCTATGAGCTGCCTATGCCTATGACAAACTGAATGCTGTTTGAAGTTTGAACCGCTAAAGTAGACTCCAGACTGTCCAGACTGTAGTTGTTAGTTTCACTGTTTCTTCAGCAAATCAAGCGATGTTGGCTCGCAGCGCCGGCAAGCTTGCCAAAACTTCGCCAGACTTAGCTCCTCCCGTAAAAACACACTCGGGAGGCCTCGGAGGATTCAGAGTCCGAATCTGGGCTCAACACGATGCGCGGCCTGCGTCGTGGCTCGGTCTCACCAAGAACCAGGGTCTCAGACTCGGAGCTGTCAGCGTCACCGGAGTCACCATCATTCTGTGAATCGGAGCTTGCAGCGTCAAGAGTCGTCACAAGCTTCTGAGTCGAAAGAGGAAGCTGATTCCAGATGTGCCTGGGAAAGCGCCGGACAGAAACTAACTTTATTGTAAACTCCTGACTCCTGACTCAGCAACACGCATGCAAACTTCAAATCTTTAACTGGGACCTGCAAGGCCACTCTCAAACATTGAATGTACTGCGAGTTGCTGCCCATTGTGCCCCAAAGGCAGGCAAAAAATCATCACTCCACAAAGGCAAGCGCCAACAACAGAACTTGTCATGGCATTTCCTGACCGCTGAGCCAGTTCAGAGATTGCAGTCCAAGAAGTTTATATGAATGACACAACACTGACACAACCATGAACACCAAAGTTGAAATAACTATACCCCCAGTGCAGCACTGCACTTCTGCTCTTATTTTAAGATTGTCCCTACCGAGTCCCTACCGTCCCCACCCAAGGCCCAAGATTTCCAAGTGTTGAAGTCGAGAGAAGCCGCTAGAGTTGAGTGAGATGAAAACAAATCTTCTCATATTTGATGATGCCATCCAAAGCCTTTAGGAACTCCATCGCCTGTTTCGCTGCCACTTTCAAACCTTCCATGTCTCGCTTCACCTCCTCTGTGGTATCATTGATGAACATCCACTCAACGTCCTTCAAAGTCCACGCTTCCACAGCAGCTTCGAGTTCTTGGTACTTCTCAGTGAAGCTGTGCAGGGGGCCATAGAAAGCATTTCCCTGCTGATCCATAGTCAAGCGGCAAGACTTGACAAAGGTTTGGAAGTAGGTCTTGCACTTTTCACGCACAGAGTCAAAGATCGAATCACTCAGGGGCGGAGCAACCACTGCAGCACACGCTGCCTCTGCCATGTCAAACTTGGCAATGAAAGGTTGGACATCGGACACTTCCTCCTCCTTGACACTGTCGATCTCCTTGTCCCAATTCACCTGCAGACAGTGAGCTACCGAGTGCATCGACTCCGGAAGGCCCTTGTAGTTTTTCATCTTCCCGTTGACAAGTGCAACCATAGCCCGTCCTTCACACACGGTCCTGAGTCGCTTGAGCATGTCCATGACGGACTGGAGAGCACACTTGAGTTTGTCAACATAGGGGCCAGGCTTGGCAGCTTTCACAGCCTCGAAGCCTCCTGTGATGATTTGCAGGCAAATCTCAGAGTGCCTCATGATCTTGACAAGCAGTTCATTGGCCGAATCGGAATCTCCTTCTCCTTCTAAAATGGCAGCGTTGACATCACGGAAGACGATGGCTTTCTCGATCCACTCGGTGAAAGCGGTGTAAGCTGCTGTCAGGGCCTGATCACCAATGTTGAGCTTGGACTCCAGAAAACCTCACTCAGAATCACACAAACGGTGACTCAGTGAGACATTTGACCTGACATGATGAAGGCCAGACCAGTGACCAGAGCTAAAAACCTGCTCCAACCATCATGAATCATACCATGACTAATTGAGTCATGACTCATGACTCATGACTCATCACAGCAACAACCTTGCCTGCCAAAAAAATGAACGGGCTTATTCAAAGCAAACAAATACAGACAATAAAATGCATCTGCATAACATCAATGAATTGAATCGGAATAACTGAATAACAATAATATATATTCTGAATTCTGAATTCTGAAATTCTATATGAATGAATGACTCGGACTCGTGAAGATTGAAGCGACTCAAGCACTCAATAGCATCCTAGGAGCATCGCAAGCGGATGTGTTTCCTGATTGCTTCCGGCACATCTGGCAATTTGCCACTGTAGGCATCAGACAGCTGCTGAGTCGTCGCACCTGGCTGAATCGGAACCATTTGGCTTGCTTGCTCAGCAACCTCTGCAAGGACCGCATCCAGATCAGGACAAAGGACTTTGCGGGCCCACTCCATCAAAGTATCAATGGCTTTCTGGAGAGGTGCCACACCTTCAGTGGCCGCAGGCATGTCCATCTCTTGAAGCTGGGCCTTCACCTTTGTGATGTCAGCCACACTGGTCAACTTCTTCTCGACCTCTTCCAAGCTTCCCTCTTCCAACTCAGATGTTTTCACCAGCTCATCTATGTTGGTGATGAAGGCTTGCGAGTCCTTGATGATGGAAGCACTGGTAGTCATGTTCTTGTTGAAGGTCAGGAGTTTTTGCCAAAGCCCCCTGCACATGCACCAAAGGAATACTGTGGCCCGAAAATTGGAAAGCTGACTGGAGCTGGGAACTAGATTTGGAACAGCTGTATTCATGTTGTTGTTCATAGACTCATATATCATATAGATTCATAGATGTAGAGAGTCGTGAGTACAATAGACTCTGAAGAATATTCAAAGGGCTATGGGCTAGGGCCTAGGGCTATGGGCTATGAGGCTCCACAAACGTATGAGTCTGAGCACATGTGTGAACTGTGCGTCATGCTTTGCCGCTCAGCTCAGTATCTAATTTCAAAAGTAGCAGGACTGTCTACTGTCTACAGTAGTTTAACAGGCCCATCACACACACACAATCGGCCTCCACTCCCCCTGGGCGCTCATTGGCATCACCACCTTCGAGCTGAACAAGGTGCTGTTTTTGGCCACGGTCATGATGTACTGCGGGTCGCGAACCGGACTCTGCACCATGTCCAGGCACCCAAAGATTCTCTGAAGGTCAGCCATGATGGAACAGCTCAAGCCACCATTGCAAGCATACCCAGTCATATCAACTGGGCCTTTCCCAGGATTGGGATACCTGCCAAGTGCAAAAAATCATGAACTGCCGCCATTAAAGCCACTCGAGTCACTGGAGTGCTTGCACCACTGGCAGCCCCGTTATTTAGGGAGGTTAGTCCCATACTAGGGTCGGGAATCATCATATAGATCAGGAACCGGAGCGGCAACAAAAAATAAACAGTGACTAATCAGCAAGCGAGGAACCATTGCTTCTCGTCTGTAAAATTTGTGGTCCGCAAAGTCTCCGGGACGTGGGATTTGCAAAACTCAAGGCTGGAAGCTGCACGCAGGCGCTCGAATATCAGGTCCTGTACTGCAGTTTGCTGAACACGGAGGAGGTGGCCCACGAGGTCGTTCTTGTTGTCGCCAGTATACATTTCGACCAAATGTGACAATCCAAAAGCGCACTGGGTCACATCACGCATCTGGATGTACTTCCAAAACAGGAAGTCCTCCGCCTGAGGCCAAAAATTGGAAGGGCGAGGAGGATCTCAGTGTTAATGACATGAAATGGATACGATGTCAAAAGTTTGGTTTTCTGTGTGCGGTCAGTATGTATACGGTGTATTCAACCACTATTATATAGTATACACTATATAATATAATATAATATAATCTATATGTAGAGCCTACAGCCTATTATATTATATTTATATGGCTTTAGGAATGGGAATTCGGGTGAACATTTGAGCGAACTGTTCAAGAAAGAACTAAGGACTCAGGACGGACTAAGGACTAAGGACAAGGACCAACAACAACACCACGGGAGTAGGATGGAGAAGGTTTGAATTCACCTTCGGACATTTGGGAAGCCTTAGTCCTATTGCACTCACTATGAACCCGCCAAGTTCTTCAAAAGATTGAAAGTTCCAACTGCAACTTCCAATTCCTGTGAGTCAAACCAAATGCCAACAATAAACTCGCTTTCAAAACCACAATGCCTCCACCAATTTCTTGGCGATAGAATGAGTAAAGTCAATCAAGACTGTGACGTCCGCGTTGAAGAGCTTGTGGGCAAATTGCTGAACGTACTTTGGGAGGTCCTGTCCGCTGGACACCTCCCGGATGAGTGTAGACGGCTCCGAGCTCCTCACCATTTGGAAGGTAAGCTTCATGGCATTCACAGTTTCTGACAAGCTCTGGATTTCATCCTGAAGATGCGATGCTCGAGCCTTCTGTTGTCGGTCTGCTTTGTCTCCACTGGCGGAAATCTTTCGCAAATCCCGTTCTGTTGGAGCCACCTTGGCAAGTCGTCGTTCCAGCTCTGTGGTCCGAACCAACGATCGCCAGACCACGTCTGGCGTGAGCTCGACTAGAAGATCCCTGACTTTTTGGCAGGCAGTGAGTGTAGCTTCTGTTCGCTCATGATTCTTGTCCCGATTCTTCTCTACCTGCTCTTCTTTTTCAGAAGTCCTTGGCGAAGCCCCTGCTGTCGACTCCTCTCCGCCCAGACTCACTTTCCTTTGTTTGGCTTTGGAGCCAGGTTTCGCCTTGGGTGCTGCTGGTGGTGGTGTGCGCTTAGGGCCCTTCGCCGTCTCACCCTCCTTCTCCTTCTGCTTCTTACCGCCTCATTGGGAGAAAATTGTGACGGAATCATGGCAGTCCCATGCAAACTATTTAATATTTCAATTTCCAGCCCAGCTCAATTCTGAGAGAACAGTCAGTGATTCAGTGACCCCAAATAAGAGTGGTAAGACCTGAGCCATGGTACTGGGAGGAGGATCATTCTCATCCTCAGAACCTGCTGACTGCAGCTTCATGGATGTGGGAGAAGATGAATTGGAACTCGAATCGGAGTCACTGGAATCGCTCTCATCATCCTTCCCCTCGGCCAAGGCCTTGTCCAGATCTGCCTAGGTTGGGCACATGAACCCACTAGAATACCCGCACAACCATTCAACCATGTTCAACTGTTCAACCAATTGTTTGTAACATATTACATATTGTAAAAAGGCAATGTAGTCTAGTCTAGTCTAGTCTAGTAACTTACTTGCAGAAGATCTGGAACATTGACCAAGAAGAAGCGTCATTCCAACTTCTACACATCACACAATTCACAAGTAAAAACAAAAGGAAACAGAAAGAGATTTCGACAGAACTTTCTTTCCAGGTTTGGTGAGTGGGAACATGGGACATGTCAACTGGTTGCTGTTACACAAGAGTTATACGGTATACGACGACTAGACTAGAGTTGACTGTTTGTCAGCAGTAGTCATTATGATTATGAGTCTGAGTCAGTCATCATATACAAAGCTGAGCTGAGGTACTTTCGTGTTGGTTTGAACCTCAAAATCCTGACGCGCTCTTGCAAAGGATTTTTTTGCCTCCCCCTTCTGGTCGTGGACCTCCTGCTTCACTTTTGCAGCACTGACTCGGGTGCCACTCAACATGACCGTTCGGTCGAGGATCGGGATGGCGTCTTTCCCCGATTTGGGGTGCTTGATCAGTTTAATGCCCTGATCTTTGCACCACTTTCTCTTTTCGGTTAGAGTCCTCGGCTTGTTTGACGACTTGCAGTGTGTCTTGACGTACTCGTCAATCTCCACCAGCGTGGATACCTTAATACTCAGTACGGGCAAACTGAAGCGTCAGACTGTCAGACTGCTTCTACTGTCCCATGATGCGGTCACTTTGATATATGTCACTGTCGTCCCTTCTTACATGGTTCATATGATTCAATGTCAGCTTTTCAAGGTATGACAGAACTTAGACTTGATCCCAAAGGTATATAAAGGTATGACAGTATGACTCTATGACTCAATGACATCCACATGTCCACAGGGTTTGGGGTGGGGGTCTAGGGCTAAGGCTACCTGCAAAATCTTGAATTGTTAAAAGCATTTTGACAGTTTTGGTTCTTGCTGCACAGTTACATAGGAGTTATGCAGTTGGGAAGTCATAGTCATGAGTCGTAGTCATAGTTGTACAAATTGCATTGCAATCAGACTACCCTTATCCAATTCAAGTCAGTGATCTCTTTGCAGCTCAAGCACGTCCTGGAAATCTATGTAATCCTCCTCTGCCCGCTGGATCAAAGTCTGAAGATCCAGACGCTGGTGTCGTCCCTTGCGGGACGGAAACAGCACCTTCTCAGTCAGCTTCTCCTTGCGAAGCTGTGCAAACCTTGGCACAGGCATTCAAAGAAGTTAGTGTATAGTTATAGTTATAGTCATAGTCGTAGTCATAGTAGATTATATTATCTGAAAATGATTCCAATTATCATGATGACGATGATTTGATGATGACAATTTGAGAGCAAAAGCAAAAGTCAAAAGTCTGTTTTAATATGTTTAGAGTCCAGGGTCTAGGGTTTGATTGGACGCTTAGTCGACTGTACAGTACAGTACAGTACACTGTACATGTTACAAGAATATCAACATTGATGACTGGCATGATCACCAACTATGACTCCTATGCCTATGACTCCTATGACTCCTATGAATGCCTATGACTTAACACTGATTTTATCTTTGATGCTGGGACCTGGTCGTTTTTAGTTTTATGGACCATGAAGTGTCATTGACTTTCTATATACAGTCACGTGCTCGACATGAATCATAGTAATTAATCATAGAATCATAGCAGGCAAGACTTTGGTAAAGGATAGGTCCAGTCTGGCCGAGTCAAGTCCAATCCAAGGATAGTTTGGGTGTATCCGGTTCCCTTTCTTTGTGACATGCTGTTGATTCAGTCAGTGTCCTTGTCATTGTCCAGATGGTCCAGATGCAAATCCTGTCCCATTTTATTCAGCCTGGGAACTTCTGCTTGATCGTATCATGCTCATCCATAGCCCCTCGCAACTCATGCTGTTTCACTCCTTGAAAGCTCCCACGCGCTACATAGTAACACGTTGAGCACACATGCCCTTTGTCTTTGGCACGGCTGACAGTCACATCGTGGCCAGGAGGTTGGTCCTGAAGCCAAGCGAAGGGTCAAAGGAACTTGCTGGCTACGCAAAACAATTGTGTTCAGCCCATACGGTGCGCTGGCACTAAGTCACTGTTGAACTATCCATCCATCCATCCATCCATCCATCCAAGAGTTTGCTACATACCGACCGCCACGAACCCCGTGAGACTGAACTGCTACTTTGCCACAGTTGAGCTCCCAGAATGAGCACACCTGTGTCATGTCATGTCACACTTAGGTCACTTAAGAGTACAGTGTATGTCGACCCAGCCGATGCCTATGTTATCCTCTTCGTCATTGTCTCAAATTGTCTCTTAATTTTGTGCCTGGCTGCTTTGTCATTGTGGCCCCATTGCTGGTCACATAGTTTGCATCCACCTTCCTCTGTGACCAGGTCGTCTTCCCCATCTCGATCTGGTTCACTCGCCATGGCTCTGAAAAACTCAAAGTCACTGGCAGACTGATGGTGTTCAAGCCTCAAAATATGTTGAAAGTTGGGGCGCTGCAATCACCCAAGGTCAAAGTCATGTGTCATCGGAGTATCTATTATCTATTTGCTACTTTCGTGCGTCGATCCATGTATCATATCCTGCAAAATAAAAGGACCGGATAACCCCACATGATAAGTTTTACAAATTTCACCTGTATATGAACATCACATGGGAGACGGAGTAGTGAGATGAAAAGTCAAGAAGGAAGTGTGAGGAGAGAAGGTATATGAGGCGGTTGTGCTAAGACGTGTAGTAAAAGTGATGATGTGATGGACGAGGATGAGAAGGAGGGGAGGGAGGAGGTGTGTGTGTGTGGCGGGCAGTGTTAGCAGGATGTAAAGCAAGAAGAGGTGAGACACGTTTTTTTTCTCTCGCGCAGAGATGTAGAGTGAGCTCCAGGCAGGACCTGAGCTCCGGTCAACTCGCACGAACAGTGAGTATATGTTTGCAACACTGAAGGCGGAGGTTAGCGCAAGACCTGAGAAGTGTCGATGTCAGAAACGAACTTGGTCAGCGTCAATTCTTTTGAGAAACGAACTCCGTCAGTCGTCATGCAACGCAAGGCAGCGTTGTTTTCGACTCTTTTCGCAGCAGTGTATCGTCACAGTCTGTCCGGCTCGTCACGTCGACTCGCCGGCGTGCTAGCTCACAGTTCTTGAACTGCAGCAAAAATGCGAGGTCTGACAAAGGAATTTAGGTTCTTCTCCCAAGTACGCAATGCCCAGAAGACATGCGGCCGATGCTTCCAGGGGTGAAGCGTGGGACGGGCCGTCAACAAGCTCTGCACAGCCGCTTCCGCGGAGAGCTGACGACGAAAGATCAACCACGCGCACAATGCCGCTGAGCTGCGGTTGACCCCGCCGAAGCAATGAAAGAGGATGCCTCGTTCTTCTCGCTGAGTCGTTGCCTTCAAGTGCTTCAGAAGAGCGCAGCACATGTCCATCCACGATGACAACCAGGCATTTCCCACTTCTTGACAAAAAGTATTGGTGTCATCCAAGTAGGTTCTGGGATCGTCCACGTCGAACGTAAACCACCGAATCTGGAGATCTTCAAACCACGCTTTCCAGCCCACCTCTGGCTGTCCACGAATACGTGTCATCTCCCGCGGACAAAAGCTCAAGACAACCGACACCTTGCGATGGGAAAGTGGGACAGTTTCCTGGTGAGTCCGGAGATGGCGACAGGCAGCCAAGCTCCCGAGAAAGTAGATCTCAGGCGGTTCCAAAGACATCATCTCCCCAGGAAGTATTTCACAGATGTCATTTGGCCAATCTGAAATATCACCGAAGTGATACTGGTGCGCTGCCAAAAGCCGGTCGAGTGTTGGCTGATCCTCGATCGGCACGTCCAAAGTGCTCTCAATCATCCGTTGCAAAGCAGCGCAGGCAGCAGACATCGCATCGTCGTATGGCTCCATGTTGCACGGGCTGCGTGTTTCGAGCCTGGATATCTCACGGAGGGTCCGCTCAAATGCTCTTTGATGTTCTCTGACATACAGCTGCAGGCTCACAAGTTCATAGACCAACTTACTTGACGTTGGTCTCTATCGCTATGGCGCGGTCATCATGTCGCTCAAAAGCGGAGGTCACTGAATTGCACCCCCCATTATTCATTTTAATTCTCTGCCGGCTGAGTGATCTCAGCCCGTGTTAGGCTTGTAATCGAACTAACGATCGGCAGCTTCGTGAGCTGTGGACCGGGCGGCCAAGTAGCATCATCCTGAGGAACGCATCGGAACAAAGGGGTTCCGAGGTTCGACTATCTTGCCGAATGCTGAGGTCAATGAAGATGTAGCAACTAGCCAAAACATGTAAGCATCTGTCTGCATCTCTGGCAGGTGGGGACACGCGACAGGAACCGTGTGATCATCTGTCAAAAAGCGGCCTCCGCCCGTGTGCAAAATTCCTTGGTAATGGCCACAAGAGGGCAGTTCACCTCGGTGAAGGACGGTGGCCACGATCCTGAACTCTAGCCAGCGGGTGGCGCATCCAGTGTCGTACATGAACACCGGAAGAAAAATCTTGTGACGATTCCATTGAATCTGGAATTTGGATCGAACGCCCACGGTGGGAAAACGGTTCACCTGCAAGCAAACATTTGTGGTCCAAGAGTTCACTCCGTATCTAAAAGGGAGCTGGTTCGACCAAAGTTCAATCAGCTCTTGCAAGCTGCTGCAACCTGACTTTTCTTGCCTCAGGACAATCGGTGCAAAGGTCAAGCCCCAGTCCTCTATGGATTGCTCGACTCTGGCTTCCCGACGTGGTGCTCTGCTCAGGTCTTGACAGCTTCCCTGATGAAGGGATTGTCTCAACCAACCCGCAAACTCAGCAGCGTCTTGCTGCTCATCCCTAGCATGTACCGCAAACCAAGGAGCAAGGCAGGTGCCCAACACATGAGGATCTGTGAGCCATTGAACCTTCGTGTCATGACCAAGAACCCTCTGTAGAGGCAGGTTCCAACAATCCATGGTTTGCCAATGAAAATTGCTGTCCATGCAGCATCTCCATAATTCAGCCTGAACTACCGAGTTGACATAGCAGTCATTGGCTTCGTTGCCAAGTACCAGCTGCAAAAGTGCCTGCCTCATCGTTTCAGGCAGTGGGCCACAGCTTGGGCCAGTGGTGACCTCTGTAGAGTCGAAGGTCTCAGCCTGAGGAGGATCAACTGGGTCAGGCCATTGGCGATCAATTTGGTCAGCAGGCCGTAGATCTCCTGAAAGGCTGGGCTGCGAAGCGAGAGATCCAGTCTCCATGGAATCACTACCGTCGTCTGCTTGACCAACAGGTCGGCCTGAAGAGGTTTCAAGGCCGAGAAACGATGGATCAGGTCTGACTGGCTACCGAGCAGGTGGATCCATGTCACAAAGCATCCAGCATATCAATTATACGATCGAACTCCAACAATAGAATGAAAACGTGAAGCAGCGGCGATTTTTTGATCTTCTCGCAGCAGCGTATCGCCACAGTCTGTCAAGCTCGTCACGTCGACTCGCCCAACCAGAGCGGCTATGCTAAAGCGATTCAAGTATGCAAAAGTTTGCGCCATAGTCTGTCAAGCTCGTCACGTCGACTCGCCAAAGCAGAGCGGCTGTGCTAAAGCGATCCAAGTATGCAAAAGTTTGATGAGAGGCTCGTCACGTCGACTCGCCAAACCAAAGCGGCTGTGCTGAAGCGATCCAAGTATGCAAAAGTTTGATGACATGACACCGTCGCCCGCAAGCATAGATCACAGACGATCAGTGGCTCAACAAGCAACAAGTCTGATCAGCACACGTCTTATCACAGTGCCACTACGGATTCCATCGGCACATCTCCGCTGTGCCAGGCATCGCTGTGACGTTCCTGCTCGGGCATCCCGTCACGCAGACCTCGCAGACGCTTCAACGGCGTCTCCCAATCCTTGTCAAACTGAAAGCCTGCATCTTTGGATTCAGTGGCGCTGAGAAATTCCCAGAAAGCTGTCACTTCAGGAACTCGTTCTTGCACGACCGGCACATGCCACAAAACCGAGTATTCTCCAAAACTGTCGGTCTGGCCAAGGACCACTTGGAAGACTTGACCTGCGGATCCTCGGAGCATCCAGTTCACGGCCGAAGAAGGGCCAGCGCAACGGAGCTTGGCCCGAAAAGGCATGTCCGAAGCGCGCTGCGACAACAGGCAATCGACAGACCTCTTGACACGAATGGCCGAGGTCGTGTTTGGATCCTGCTGCAAAGCTTCATCATCTGCCAAGTCGACCTCGTTGAAGGCAACCAAAGCCCGCATTGCGGTGCAATCGATACGCCCAAAGGTAAACATTCCCAGGTCTTTGTCTTCTGTCACATCACGAAGGGAGACCACCGGACAGCCTGCGTGCATATGATGATGTGTCACTGGGCGTCGCAACAGCTCCGGCGAGGTTGCGGCAACTGCTTCACGTGTTGTGACCAAACAAGGTTCCAGATGCCGAAGATCAAGTTCCAGCACTTCTTGGTATTCATTGCCACGGAATGTGAAACGACAAGTCCATTGAGCACTTCGAAACATATCACGAAGCTGCGTTCTCAAACTCCGCGTGTCCTGCAACGATGTGGTCAGCTCAACGTTCAGCAGCTTGGCAACAGCCAAAATACCTTCATGATAGATCATCAGGCTGCACTGTGCGTTCGAGTCTGCCACCGTGAGTCGCAGAGCAAGTCGACGCTCCGTTGGCGCAGTGGCGTGCGCCTGCATCGCTTCGGAACCAGTTTGACATAGTTGTGGAAGATTATAAAGAAAGGTTATAAACAAGGACCATTCGAAACCGTCAAGAAGAAAAAGAAAATATACACAGCATTCTCCAATCAGGCCTGACATGGAGCTGCACGTTTGCAAGTACTGCAGCTGTCCAGAATCCATTCATCGGTTTCGGAACGCACCGACGTGATCCCCATGACCTGCAGGCCAACGACTTCGAACACAGTTTCCACTTTCCTCACCGCTCCGGGGACGATGACGCCCATGAGAGCACTCAACGAGGTCGCAACAGCCGGACAGTTCTTGTAGTCCTTGACGGGAACATGGGTCAACATCCGGCAGGCCTCCTTGTCAGCCAAAGTTGCGGTCCTAGGCATTCCCACTATACGAGGCCTATGCATCTGTAACTGTCTAAGCGATACACAGCAAACCAAAGATACCCCATGTATTCAAAAGCAAAACCAAGAGACATCTGATCTGCCAAATCGCGCGGACAGGGCAAAATCTGCGTTCCTCGCCAGGAGCCGAGTTCCCACGAAGCCTCGTCTCCAGCTTTCTTGGACACAAGCACTTGATACAACAGAACACAAGAGTCCACAGCCACAGCGGCCAACTTCTCTGCCATCTCTCTCCAGAAGGCACACCTCACACGCGTCGTCCCTTCTTGGACGACGGCATTGCACACCGACAACGGGCCACTGCCGGTCAATCTCTCAGTGCTTCCAGGATTTTCCACCACCATGGCCTTGACACAGATGTACTGTCTGTCGCGCACACGCGACAAAGACTCCAACGGCACCAGCGGGTGTGTCATTGGCGGCGAGGGCCAGGGAAGATTTTCGTGAGTTCTAATGATAACTTGCACCCCCAGAGTTCCTTTCAAACGCAAATGGTAGTGCAACCTCGAGGTTGAAAACTGTTGGGCCGCATGTTGAATCTCGCCGCCCGCAATACTAATCAAAGCACCCTCAGTACATTTCTTGGCGACTTGCTCTGCCAGCTCTCCCCAGGCTTCGACATACAGAACTTCCGAAGGACTCTCCGTCGCACTGACATGCAACTCAAGCTTCGTGTTTGTGGCAGGTTTGGCCTTGCCTTTTCGACCAGTCTTGCCTTTGGAAGGCGTGCTCAAGGTCTTCTCCTTTGCTTTCACATCCTGTAGCGTGCAAATGACAACACGACCGGCCACAGCAGTTTGCGCCGCGCCCTGAAACTCCGAAGGCTTCAACAGGACAAGCGATGTCGGAGCCGTCATGACAGGGCAAGGTCAACAGATATGCCTGTGGTGGTTTGACACAAAACGGCTCATTTCAGGTGGCCGAAAATTCTCTGGACGCCTGTCGACGGTCGGCTATCTCTCCACTCAGCTCGCGACCATGACGGACTACAGAGGGCGACGCCTCAGCGGTGACATCTGGAAAAGACAAGTCACCCGGCCGAAACACCTGCTGCCGAAATCGTCACAAGAGTACCAGGTCCGCCGATACATGACATCAAACTACCCGCGTCAGCGATATCTCTCGCGTCTTCGCGCTGAGCTCGTGACGACAAAGGATCATGGAGGGTGACACCTGGGCAGCGTCTGAATAACAAGAGAAGTAACCCGAGTGAAATAATGGCAGACAACTAAATCCAGGGCTATCCGTAGACAAAGTAATTAATCATTTTTTCTCGTTTTGCTCGCATTCTCGCGATCGAGGCTGCATCTGGCGATTCGTCACGTCGACTTACCGTCAGTCTGTGCATTGCCACTTCACGCGGGGTCATCGTCCATAAGAAGGCAAGACCGGTTGAGCTTCTTTCAACCATCTGGTTTTGGGCAGAAAGTACCCAACCACATGCGCCCACTCCACCACCAGAGCGTCCAAATTCAAATCCTCAGTTCTCAGGTCAGTGAATCCGAAAATATGCTTGTTGGATGCCTCTTTGGCGAGCCAGAGGAGGCGCCGCTTCATGAGCTGGATGAACTCATCAACCTTCACCAGGTGTTGCGCCAGTGGAGACAGAGTGTCAAAAACGGCATGTGGCTGCCCAGTCGTCTCATCTTGCATTCTACGGGCCTGTCTCTGAGCCCATTGGTCGATGTTTTTGGTCTGGATTCTGTCCATCGCCGAGTAGTGTTTCCACAACAGCTCATGCAAAAATTTGAAAATCCAGAACATGGAATGATACCGGTACGGTGGCATATGTTTCCATTTCGTCTTCTGCATCTTGTGCGATGTTGCGTCCTCCAAATGCTGCTGCAACGGATAACTCTGTGCCTTTGGAGGATAATGATACTGGTTACCAGCTCTGTCTTGGAAGGTTTCATAGTAGTTCAGCCCGGTCTCAGGGAGAACCGGCAACAACATCCCATATCTCGTGCAGAGGTGATGCCAACGACTCCACTGATCTTGATCCTTGGAAAGCAGGTGTCCAGACTCCACCGTCATACCCATCCTGGATTCCAGAACGAAGCCAGCACACACCTCGCAAAGTGGAAGATCGAGATTCTGACCACGCAGCTCCAAAACTGTTTTCGCGTCCGCGTACTGCTGGATCAAGGCTGTATCAACCAACAGACCGTTGATGTATTTCGGAAAGAAGCAGTCCAGTCGAGTCTGCAGCAGAGGTTTTCCGTGTGCACAAACATCTGCCGAGACGTCCACGACAGTCGCACGCACCGATGTCAACCAATCGTGCGTCAGATGCTGCGCTGCAAGGAAGGACCGCATCGGACCCCATGGCAGCATATACTCTCCGATAAACCTCGTGCCTAAATCCACGCCCGGGTTCCGCTGCTCGGCGTCCTCATGTGTAGCGTCCTGCGGGTGACAAGAAACATATATTTACAACACGCCGAACAAGCCCATGCGTCCTGTTCTTCTTCTCGGTCTCTGGCCGAAGCAGGCAGATCACTACGATACGCCTCGTCACCGTCATCGTCCTACAGGCTACAGGAGACATAGATCTACCGCATGTGGCACAGTCGCATGTGTCCTGTCGTCGTTGACTAACACGACGCGACTCATCGGCCTGAGGACCCAAGACATCCACGTAGAGTAAATCAAAACATGTATGAGTCCCCGACCGAAGCAGGCAGATCACTGCGACACGCATCGTCAGTGCCACCATCCTACAGGCTCCAAGAGACATAGTAGATCGACTATACCCAGAACAATCGCATGTGGCCTGTTCTTGCTCACCAACCAGAAGCGACACACCGGTCTGAGGCGCCCAAGACATTGACGTATATAGCAAATCAAAACAGTGTCCGAATCCCTGACCGACGCAGGCAGATCAGTGAGACACGCCTCGTTCGTGTGAGCCACCACCACCGCGGCGGCGCGGCCCAGCGAATCCACTGCCTCGCTCCAGCATCCAAGCAAGTACTTGGGTCGGCATAACTACTGTTATATCTCCCACCTGTTGTGGTCGCTTTCGTGGCGCCGCCTGAGGCATCACATGACATCCATAGCTGCAGGAGAACCGAAACCACAAGCAACCAAATTACGAACCTGTTTCGTCTCATCTCGTCGTTCCAGTCGAAGACTCGGGGTCACCTATACGTCGATGGTCAGATGATGTCACTGTCCACGACGCAGAGCAGAACACTTCTAGGCTCCCACTCGTTTGCGAAGTCGCGGGTCATCACCAGGAGCCTGATGGAAACGATATGACCACAAAAAGACCATGTGTGCTCGCATCGCGGTCCTAGTTTATAGATTCCAAATCCTGCAACATCCAAAAAACGATGTGACCACAAAACGGTTATTCGTGGTCGTATCGTGGTCACGGTTTTTATATCAGAAAGCCTACAAAGCACAAGAAACAATAGGATCTCAAAAAGACACGCCTGCTTCGTCGTATCGCGCTCCCGGTTCTTATATCACAAATCATCCAAAGCACCAGACACAACATGACAACCAAAAGGCTATTTATGGTCGTTTCCCAAGCCGTGTTTTTAGAGTCCAAATCTTACAAACGACACGAAGCGATACAACCCCCAAAAGGCTATGTGTAGTCGCATCGCGATACTAGTCCTGAGATCCCAAATCCTGTAAAGCACATGAAACGATAGAAGCATAAAAAGGCTATTTGTGGTCATATCGCGGTCCTGGTTTTTATATCACATATTCTGCATAAAGCCCAACAAACGATATGACCACAAAAAGGCTATGTGTGGTCGCATCGTGGTCATGGTTTGGTCTCGCCGGTCGCATCGCGGTAATGGTTTTTGTTTCACCAGTCCAACAAGGCACAACAAACGATATGACCACAAAAAGCCTATTTGTGGTTGCATCGCGGTCCGAGTTGTTCGATCCCAACTCCGGCAAAAGCCAATAACGACCACAAACAGGCGCGCTTGGTTCAGCCTGCGACGAGACCATTGTCGAGCCAGCCTGAAGCAGTTGCCCGACGATCCAAAACGCAATCACTTCTCTGAGTGGCAGACCGCCTGTCCAGAAGCACTGGCTGCCTGAAGAAAAGACTTATCACAGACAACTTCAAGTAACACTACAAGGTAAGCTATCATAAAGAAGCACCTCTGAGTGATAAACATCCTCTGGGCGCGCACTTGTTCCAGCCTCTGAGGAGACCGTTGTCAATCCGGCTTCCAACGGTTTTTGGACGATCTGAAACACAATAACTCCTCTGAGTGGCAGACCGCCTGTCCATAAGCACTTGCTGCAGTGGGAGAAGACACTGCATCCGCAGACCAACAAGCTTGGTTCTGTGCCTGCAGAAAAGAATGACAGCAGACAGTTCCAAGCAACAGCACAAACTAAAACATCACAAGCAAGCAACTCTGAGTGACAGCTATCCTCTGGGC